GCAGCATCGCAGAGAGATAAGCCTTTTTAACATGTTAACTGCCACGCTGTTTAATTAGGTAGTTAACTAACTTTGTTTATATATTAAAATAAACGAATATAATAAAATGTAACATTAAATATAACACGCTGATATAAAAATGGCATTTTTATATTAGCATGTTATATTTAATATCGAAATGTTACACATATTTAATTATATTTATCTGTATTGTATTATATTACAATTTTTCAAAATTTGCAATTAAAAATGTAATAAATTTTCATTTTTTCCTTCAAAAAATTAGCGAATATAGCCGATGTCTATAGTTCGCCAACTGTGAGTTAATTCATACTCGGGAGTTCAACTGAAATAATCCATAAAAAGGAGGAGTCGCTCGAGGAACTTTTCTTCTTTAAATTCGACCGATTTAAACTCGAAAAGTCGGTCACGATAATAAAGCGCGGCGATAAAGGTTGCATAGCTTTCCGTCGACGGTATATTCATCGAGCAATCTCAGATCTGACGTCACGCAAAACGCACGATTAATCGATACGCGACAGCTGTACCGGCTCCTGTATGCTCCATTACTTTCGACGTAAAGACACTCGTGACGGCCGAGCCATGATGTTGCGAATCTTTTCATTGATGATTACGTTTGTGTTTCGCAACGTATATATGTTATCGCAATGTCATCGAGACAATATTGACTTCATAGAAATCTTTCAAATCTTTACATCGTAAATGCGACGTATCGGTTAAACAATGCCACACTGTTAAATTCGTCAAATACTTAATTTGCTTATTTCATTTTTAACCATTCCTAAGGTCGCCACTGCTCCTACTCAATATGTCATTAATTTAACTGAAACAATGTTAATTTAATTAAACAAGTGGAGTTAAAATAATACTGTTTTATGTTAAAATAATAAATCTCGACATATTGTAGTTAAAAATAACAATATTATTTGACTCAAGGTAAGGTTTAAATTTCACCCTTTAATATATTAACAGTGCAATCTCTTTGCCAAAGAAAATTATTATCAATTATTATTTCTATCGCGAATTAATAAATAAAGTAAATTAAGTAAATAATGGGCTATGAGAGCCGATGCAAGATCTAATATGCGGAAAAATTACATTTAACAATTGTTAGTCAATATACATTAAAAAATCAAACGTTTCAGCCCTAAATTGGGCCCTCTTCAGTGATAAGTCGAAAAAAAAACGCATAATAAATAAACTAATAATAATATGTAAACTAAATAAAAAATGACGCAAAACAAATAATCGCGCAAACAGATAGTAGGAAGGATTGCAACGCGGAAAATGGGACAGCGAGTAAGTGCAGAAATGGTCTTTCTGTAAGCGCTTCCTTATTCGCGTCCATACCGGACAATATTGCGGCTCGAACCGCGCCACGCGCAAATCAGACATGAAAGAGGTTCACGCGGAATAATTAATGTTCATGCGGACGTCTGATCGTTGTAGGTGGGCAGGATCAAACCGCGGCTGCATCATGAATTTGCTGTTAATGAGGCTAAACGGGTCAAGTGCGCTTTGTTATGCGGTAATGGATGATAATAGCGGCGATAAACTGTCGCTTAATATCGCGCGTTACGCGAATCGCGTTATCTGACACGCCTTACAGCCTGATTTTTGTGCGTGCCAGTTGATAGTCGGCCGGCAACGAAATTGGCCCGTGCCGAAGGAAGAATTAAGTACGATCGATCGGCGATGCTTGCACGGTGGTCCAGAGCCAATCAAGTAATTTCACGAAGTATCAGATTGATAGATAAAATCATTCTCTTCTTTATGTATTTTATACTGATAAAAAAAATGAAAGAATTTTATTTGAAAAGTGAAAATATCTCACATATTGTAAATCGTCAAATAAAAAGTTTACTTTGCACATTAAATCGGAATTGTTTTCACTCAAGATTGGCTATCAGTAATTGATCGGACATATATTTTGAGAAAAATTGACATAAAAAGAGAAATACTCCGAGATGGGCCAATTTTGAGGGTGATTTCATGAAATATTAGATTAACATCGAAATTATTTGTTTCTTTCTATGTAAATTTTACATTGATACAAAAACGAGAAGATATATGTGAAAATATCTGATATATTAAAAATCGCTAAAACGACAAGTTCATTTAGAATTACAAGTCAAGATTATTTCCACTCATCATCAATTATCATCCAATGAATTAGATATATTTCGAGAACAACCGTCATAAAAAGGGAGAAGGATACACTCTCCCGTTTATAAGTTATAAGTTGACCCGACCCTTTCGGTGGAGGGAATTTATGGGATGTCGAGGGAGAGAAAGGGGCAGCTAAAAATATACAATCTGCGATCTTCCCTGCGGCGAAGGGAACCTTAAATTGACTCTATTTTCAAGGCTGACTTTAAAGTGGACTCGTTGAATCGGAGGCCCTAGACCAGCCGTGTGTCTTAACCTTGGTAACCTTATAGAAATACCCCTGGAGTCGCGCCAGTCCTCGAAACCGGCCGGTTAAACGAACTGTCCGTCTCCAGTCAGTGTGTCAACTCCACTTACATTAATGAGCATTTAGACACCATCGGTCTTAGACTCCTCGGCCGTGATGTTCGACCAAAGCTCGTATTATTGTAACTGTCGGTCTAACATTCTGGCAATTACGGCTCGTTGGCCAGTCTCGCACCGAGCGTGGGGTCCCAGCTGCGATAAAACGAAAATAGCGGGGAACTTTCGGCGTGCTATTTCAAGTGCATCGAAATTAAAGCGCTGTCGCCGCGCATGCCGCCGCGCCGGTGCATGCCATGCCAACGTCGCGCTGATCGCGAACGCTTGTTACCTAATAACGCGTCCGGTGACTCGATATTCGCGAAATATATCACGCCCGCGAATGATGTAAACTTTGGACCGCGTCCAGAAATCGCGCTCCCGCTGATGCGAGCTCTCGCTCCTCCGGACAGATGAGCCAGCGCGCGCGAAGGCCACTCGCGCATTTCACTTTACGACTTTGTTATCGATCAACCCTGGGAACATTTGTAAACACTTCTATATGCCGTTCCTCTTTTGCCGTCGCTTTTCCTCTCAGCGCGGCTGACCGACTTCTCTCTGTTTATTATCGCCTTATCGCGAGTGACACATCGCGGGGAATTTGCGTATCAATGAGCACCCGAGACATTGATTAACGCGGCGTGGCACAATTCTAAATTATTCTTTTCACGTGTGCTCCACACAGACGAAATAACGCAGACTCCAAGACGTTCGCGCCGGAGAGAAGACCCTCAAAATGCAAATTCAACTCTCCGAGATTCCGCGTGCAGATATCCGGTGATTTATAAATTCACCGAATGAACTCCTATCGAGTCTCTTCTTTTAACTTCTATTTATTTTTTTATAACTTTTTTTATAACTTAAGAGAGCTCGTCAACGATGCATCTTGGATTGCTCGTCGGTCGCAAGCTCGCTTAATTTAGACTCCGTAGTTTTTAATTGACATGTTCCTTCCGTCTGTCACATGTCCTTATTGTGACCTTCGTAGGGCGCGACGCTGCGCTGATGTCATGGGTCAGCTGTCGCCGGTCTCGTGGACGCGCACCGCGTTGCGCCCATTAATACTTTTATTCAACTCTCGCAGGGTCTTAACTCGAGTTTTACGATCTTTCGTTTGCTTTTGTTTTTACGCTGATTAATATTATTTGTACTTCTCGTCAGGCGGTTGCCTGGTAGAATTTTTCTGTTATTTTTTTTTTATTTGCACACTTGTTTGTGGGTGAATTATCGTTTATTGCGTCGAGACGACGGCGACTTGAGGACACTTTGTGGCGTCTCGGGGGAAAGAACGGGTCAAACGAACGACCTACTTGTATTTACGCGTTCCCGCGCCGCGCCGCGCGCTGGGATTATTTGCATTAATTGCCCGTTCCTCAATGAACGCGCTCGTCTCTCGCGCGGAGAGCCCGCGCGATCGGGGACAGCTCGCGTGATCTTTCCGTCTATACGCGCACAGAAGCGGCTGCCGATATGCAGTTCTCGGAAGCATGTAGAACGAGGAGCACATCGGAGTACGCATCGTTGAGTAGAATAATTTTGCGCTTCATGTATTATAAGAATGTTATACGGATTATGTAAATTTTCGCGAATGCGCCGCGCGTCCCGCGATTTCTCGGGGTTAATTTCCAATAAATTCTTTTTTAATCTTAAAAAGGACTCAGGTTGTTCAATGAGGTGCGACAGTTGTCCAAATGAAAAGCAATTAAAGTTTATTATTAAATGTTCATTTCTTTTCGACAAAAACGCTTATTCCTAAAAAAAATGTAATTTTGTGTGTGCATTCGGATCCTAGCGAAGTGTATATTTAAATTTAATTAAGTATCAATTAAGTCGATACCGGAAAATCGGTATCGTTACGCAAGCGTGATGTGCGCCTGTCAGAGCTCAGGAAGCTGAAATCACGATCCTCGTTCCAGTCTGGTAAATTTCATCAATATTATAATGCAGCCGATTCGGGTGACACTCGTTTCAGAGTTACGTGATCCGTAATAGACGATGTGTGGACCGAACGTTCGGGCAACGCGGGCAACTAATGTTAAGCTCATCCCTGCCGCCGGCGAAACCCGGTTGAATCGTTGTCGCCGAACGAATCGTTTCAATCTGATTGTAGATTGTTAAGTTTCTTGATTCATACGTTCACTTTACTGACAAGAGATTAATTAAGCTTTGAAGCTGTTATTAACACGACACGAGAACTACCAAAGCAATTGCAAGTAACTGTTTATAATTTATTTTAATTGTTCAAACGCATTGCATTTTCTGAGATTTTTCATGATTTTTATTGTAAATGCAGATTAAATTGAGCAATTTAATTTCTCTCTTATTGCAAAGGTAGGTATACATATGTACATTAGAATTAATCATCAGCAGTTCTAATATTAAGCTATTTTTAATTAACTATTTCAATTACTTTTAATCTTTAATAATATTAACATAAGATTAATAAAGAAGATAATAAGTATCAAAGGGTTAAATATCTTAAAAGAACAAAGACACAAATCTCTAAATCCTTGGCTAATATACTACATCGAATATTGTCCTAAACTTCCACATCTATGCTAAACATCCAGCTTCATAATTATTCGGTCGATTTCTCGCGCCTATGCACGCGCTATAAAGTAAAAGAACCAGAAGTCAAGGAGAGAGATCGAGCGGGGTTTGTTCGGGCAAAATGTTACGCGTGGCGACATTGCACAAGCCTAAGGAAAGACTTCCATCATTCCCTCTAGAATGTCTCATGACGAATCGTGCGGCATTTAAGCGGCCAACACCTTGAAGTCGTTCCAAAGCAGACGGAATGACGCGTCTCGCCGCCGGCCCCAACATTGCAGGCTCCTGGCAGCGTTTATTGTTGTCAATTGCCAGTTGTTACCGAACCCCACATATCGCGTGAGCGAGCACACCTGGTTACGCGACATTGGCTCGAAGTTACGCGCGAAGTTAACGCAAAGACTGACAAGTTTCGTGAGATTCAATATTGAAATTAGATAAAAGTACGTCGTGAAATTTAAAGCGAAGTGCATATAGTATTTAGAACGAATGCTATGAAAGAGTGTTAAAAAAATGTTAAAGAAATTTGGTATTTTTATTATAAAATGGTCCTTTCCAGGATGTGGACCGCACACTGCCAAAATTTAGTGTTCATCGCCTTTGTGTTCTTACCCTCGGTCGTGAGAGGCGTCCCGGATTATTCTGGGTTGCCGCCGGGACCGTACTGCGCCTCGAGGTATCCCGGAGGCAGTTGCTGCCCAGGACGACAGGATGAATGCAGCGCGCCGATCCTCAAGACGCTGTGCTACTGCGACGACTTTTGCAACCGGACCCGCGAAGAGGATTGCTGTCCGGATTACTGGTACCATTGCAGAGGGATCGCCCCGAACATCTCGGAGCCCGGGGAGATAAGGAGTGCGTATAATTGAAATATAAATATAAAAATAATTTAGACACGTATATTTAATATTACGTATATAATAATATTATACTATAATAATTTATGTAATGTATTTGTATAAAATTAAATTTACCTTGCGTATAAAGAAAGTAAGTCCCAAGTGGGTAATCGGAATTATAATGTAACTGTTTATATTTTTATTATCGATACGATGTGAGTTATTCTCCAAATCTCGTGTTGTTCCAGGAATGTCGTGTTTCTTCCAGGGAAGGGAATACCATCACGGACAAACGTTAAAAGTTAATTGTAACACATGGTAACATCTCCCTTTCCTTTTTTAATATAACAACGAGTGAGGGGCATAAAAACACGCGGATCTTGCAAGTTTAATTTATATTATAGTAAATGCTCCTCGCTGGGTCAGCGCGCCGAAGTGCTCTGCGAGGAGAATCGGTGCTTGATCGAGCCGGAATTGATGGAGGAGGTCAACCTTCAAGAATTCAATCGGGGATGGAAAACGGGCAATTATTCCGAATTCTGGGGAAGGACACTTCGAGACGGCGTGGAACTTCGCCTGGGCACTCTCAATCCCTCGCAATCCGTAAGTATACTGGAGAGAGTCGCCATCGCGGAGATCCGCGGCTTAAATAATCGAAAGTCTTATGTAAATTGTCGTAAAATATTCGCGGAATATTCCCCAATAAATCTTCGTTACCACCTTTACCGTTACCACCTTTATCATGGCGAAATACGTTATTTGAGAGAGAGACATAAATTATTCAAGAAGACACACATTTAAAAAACGCTGTAGGAAATTTTTTATATAGCGGAATTGCACGAACTTTTCTCGTTTATACCTCGTCGGATTCAAAGTGAGGCAACCTTGTTCTTAACACGTGATAGCTGTGTATAGACGCAAAACTGCCTCGTAAGATTAGGTCAGTTGCGACCAAAGTTAAAGTTCCACGGTTGAAGTGATCCTTTGTACTTTGCTGCGGGGCTTCTATGAATAGGAGATCGCCCAACACGTTGCTCGCGGGCAACGCCGGAAACCTTTAATTCTCTGAAGTACCTGAAATTCAGTGCCCGAGGACGCGAATATCCTTTTTCCTTTCCCCGATCGTAAATAAGATCCGTCGTATATATGGTAAATTGAACGCGATCAAAGAGGGCCCAGAGCCATATCTCGCTTAAAGCTACTGCTTTCTTTTGCGTATATAGGTGTACAAAATGAACCCGGTACGACGCATTTACGACCCGGATGCGCTGCCACGGGAGTTCGACTCCAGGACGCGCTGGCCGCGCGACATATCCGGCGTCCACGATCAAGGATGGTGCGGCGCGTCCTGGGCCGTGTCCACGGCCGACGTCGCGTCCGACAGATTCTCGATCATGAGCAAAGGCGCCGAGAACGTGGATCTGAGCGCTCAGCATCTGCTCTCTTGCAACAACAGGGGACAACAAGGCTGCAGAGGCGGCTATCTCGACCGCGCTTGGCTCTTCCTGAGAAAATTCGGGTACTTTTTACAGTCCGATATTCTCTTTCTCTTTGAAAGTGTTGAATAATGTTCTCCGTTCTTAATTATACAGGGTGTTCCTGAACTTAGTGCCAAAGCGGCTTTGGCACATAAAAACAGGTCAAAAATGTCTAATAAACGAAGTTATTAGGTAACTCCGAAACTGCTCGGATTCGGACATATGTTTATTTGGCATAAATTTATTCGGTGTCATATATTTATTCGGCATAGAACGTACCTGGAAGAAACGATTCGTCATTTTATGTTTGTGGCCAAAAATGTACATATGTTGCATTCATCGTATGTTTACTAATGTTTATTAAACATTTTCAACTTGTTTTCACATGCTAAAGCCGCTGTGCCAATTTTGGCACTGAGTTCAGGGACACGTACCCTGTATACACAACTTTGATCAAAGAGATTTCATTATTTTATATATTACCTGCGAGTATAAAATAGATTCATTTTGATTATGCAATAGATTGGTCCGAAGAGATCAATCCTTTATTAGATTATTATTTTATTCAATGTCTAAAAATACGCCTTAGGCTTTATAACGCGTGATGACGAATTTCTGTTTAGCGCGTTATTAATTTACTAATTTATTAATTCTCCCGTCGTAGACTGGTGGACGAGGACTGTTATGCTTGGACCGGCAAGAATGATCAATGCAGACTGCGTAAGAGAAGCAACCTAAATGCCGCCGGTTGTCGAAACCCATCGCACCCGCTGAGAACAGAATTGTACAAGGTCGGCCCGGCCTACCGCCTGGGCAACGAGACTGACATTATGCAGGAGATCCTGACCTCTGGACCCGTGCAAGGTAGCCGCTATAACTCACAATCTGACGATCGCGTTAGTCGAAATTCTAAAAATGCCGATTGACATTTAGAATCGTTATGTCCCGCGGAAGGTGGCGTAATGTACGACGTTAAGAGAACATTGTGAAGTAACGTCCGCCTTTTCGCAGCTACCATGAGAGTCTACCAGGACTTCTTCATTTACAAGAGCGGGATATACAAGCACTCTCGAAGCGCGGAGTTGCACGATTCCGGTTATCACTCGGTGAGAATAATCGGCTGGGGCGAGGAGACGTCTTATCGCGGTCCACCGCTCAAATATTGGGTAAATTTATGCCGTATCAAACAGCTACGTGATAACGTTCGTAACAGTCTCTAAAAAAAAGAGAGAAAAAGAAGATCACAGTGAAACATTTTTTATACGTTAAATTGCAAGGATGTCTCAACTTTTGGAATAATTGTCTCGAGATTTGAAATTATAAATAAACCCAAATTTAATCTCTTTTTCAGCTGGTCGTGAACTCCTGGGGACACAGCTGGGGAGAGAACGGGCTCTTCAAGATCCAAAGGGGAACGAACGAGTGCGAGATCGAGTCGTACGTGCTGGCGGTCTGGGCCAAGACAATATAAAAGAAAAGAAAGAAACAAGGAAAAAAATACCAAAGTACTAGAATATCCGATTGTCATAACCACTGTTGGTGCATTTATTGAATCTCCGCCGTCGTCGTGCGCAACGATGCGATTGCCTCGGGGACGATGAACGATACATCGATGTTCGAAAGTATTATATGTGATCCAGTGCCTCCGTACATGCCTTATTACACGTATAGGACCGAGAGGGAGGGTGGAAGGAGAGAGAAACGGGAGGACGACAGAGCTGTTTATATAAATATTTAATATAGATACGTGGATAACCGAAAAGAAAGTGTCGTCGTTATTTTCTCATTATTCAGAACCATAATAATCGTTTTACATAGACACGCGCTCGTCGTTACGCGTCGATGATCGATATATGTTGCGCAAAAGTCATGTCTCTCTCACGTAATATCATTCATGTGTCGCGGTGACTTCGACGTGTAAGAAGTATACTAAGTGCCAAGAGCTTGAAATAAATTTTGTAAGTACGTAATTATAGTCCTTTTGTTTCTACTACACGTGGAGATAAACACTTGGCGAAAATTCCGACGTTAATCGATTGCGTGTTTCTTTTATTTTTTAAATTAATTAAGTTCTCTTTGTGTTCTACATATATTCGACCTAAAATTAGACACACGTTTGCTATGTGTGAGGGATATACACATAATATTCCCATAAGGTAAATGGCAGTGTGACGGTGTATTACGATGCGGTACCGTTAATTCTTATCATCGAACTCTTTTTGTAGGTACGTTGTAAAATACTTGTGCAAAATGGACATTATAATTTCCTTCAATCCTTTTTCACATCGAGATCTTTCCGCGATTGACTAAATTCATATCAAACACATATTCGGCATATATGATACACGGTATTAGGCACTCGAGGAATGACTGTGCACGTTGCATCACTAATCAGAAGGAACTCTCTCTCACTCTCTCTTACGATGACTTCACCGTTAGACTACGACGCTTCGCCTGTTGCTCTTGCAATGGGGACTGTACACCTCTAATTTGTCCCGCGGTGTGTTCATCGCGGAATAATCGATCGGGAACGGTATGGTATTACCGCGAATCATGCAGGAGTCCGTCATGCCCAGGAAATGTTCTCCCGGGCCGAACGGGCCGCGGCCGAACAGAAAATTGGCGAACACTAACTGATACTGCGCCCAGCCGAGAGGATGGTCTCCATTCTGGAACAAATTTTTTTCTATTGTTATATTAATAAATTTCGAATTAATTTCTTATGAAGAAGTAATAAGAATTTAATAAAGAATTAAAAAAAAATTTATAAGATTTTTTTATCTTATAAAAATATGACTTTTCTTAATCTTACAAAAATCTTTAGCTCTTCCTCATTTTTACTTATTTTTTTAAGTTTTCACGATAAAGGAGTAAACAAATATTTTCCTAATTCATACAAAAAAGTTAGCCGTTATCAAATTGTACTTTTGATCGACAATTGCTCACGAAAGCTATTTTATGGACTTAGCTAACCGAAGTCATAGAGCTGTAGGCGATGTCCAGGCACTTGTTTATCCTGTCGGTGTCCAGACCGACCACGGATCCGTAGAAGGCCGCGAGTTCCTTCTTGCTGATCATCCCGTTCCCGGAGCTGTTTATGGCGAGGAAAAACACTCTGGGCATGACTTTGATCCAGAATGGCATATCGTTGTAACTGGCGCCGTCCGGCGGTGCGACTATCTGCGCCCACCAGGACAGCCAATCTTCAAGATTGATCTTTTTATCCGGCTCCACGGGCCCTTTCTTATTCTGAAGGATCAATCCGGCGAATCCATTCTCGATCTCCAGAAGCCTCAGGTACTCCGGACCGTTCCACGACCAGTCCGCAAATCTTCTCAAACGCTTTTTGAGGCGAAAAAAAAGTGTTATTTTTATATCGACTCGACGTTTTTCGACTTTTGTTACATAGATATGCAATTACAAATCAAAAACAATAAAATTTTGTATACATATATTGGTTCAAATCTATTGTGTGATTTCATTATAGACTTCTTTTCTTTTCTCATAGAAATGTAGGAGAGAAAGTAAAGAAAGCTTTTTATATTACTCCTGTAAAAATCGAGTTTTTTTTTCAAAGCGAACACTACCTCGGAGAATAATGTAAAATCCTTCCTGCTGATGTAACCGTCTCTGTCGTGGTCTAAGAGGTGCGTAAAAAAGTGTGTGAATTTATCACGTTGAATGAGAGCTAAGGCCTCCGAGCCTCCGCTTTTACTGAAGTCAAAGGCGGATAAACTGTCGTCACTCGGAAAGCGGCTCACCCAGGTCGCTATAAATCACGATAATTCTCATTATATAAACTAATTTTAATTTAGGCTATCAGTATATCTCATTGCCACGAGAATAACGGAAACTGATTAATAATCCGAATATGTTATTTATAAATAAATTAACTAGGCAGTAATAAAAATTTAATTATTTACTAAATATTTAATGGAATAAATCGACATTACTAAAATAAATCAATATATTATTTGTATTATTTCGGCGAATATAGCTTTTCATGCCTTAAAGAGATTTGCCATCATCTGTTATTCACCCAAGCACTTATAATTTCTAACTTAAACAGTTAACTTTCCTTTTTTTCATAAAAAAATATAGAAAAATGTAAAAAAAGTTGATATTTTTCATAATGCATATTTTGTCAAAATAAAAAATCAAAATTTGATAAAAAGATTTTTTAAGTACTTTTAAAAAATACGACTCTGCGGGATTAAGCCGCGATTAATTAAGCAAATTAAGAAGCTTGCTCGAGAGACTATAACTCGGAGAGTTACTCACTCCAGACGTGCACGCTCCAGCCGGGCTGCTCCAGCTGTTCGGGGACGACGACGGGCGCGATCGCGATCTCGTCGACGTTGCTGCTGGTCGTTCGCCATCTCTTCAGAAGGTCCTTGGTCCGGTCCTTGGTACGGTCGCACGCCTGCCGCCAGTTGGTGATGAATTTGCGCGGTACCTTGAGCGCGTTGGGGTCATCCAGGCTGATCTCCTGGCTGTTGAGGGAGCTGCGCTGGCTCTTGTCTTGTTGCTCGCTGCCGCCGCCGCCGCTCGACGTGCCGTCGTTCTCCGGATAATACATCGGGTCCTTTATGCTGCCCGAGCGGCTCTCCATGACGGACTACCTTAGCCCGGCGTCATGCCTAGCCGACGCTACGTACATTTCAAAGGGGGGACCTCTCTCGCGCTCTCCTGAAAATAATCAATTCCACCGGCCGGAGAGGTCACCGGGTCGCTCGATATTGCGACCGCGCCGTTTCGTCGAGACGCGGACTCTTCCACGGGGGTGCAACCAGGTGAGACGGCAAAGACGTGGACGTGGTAGACACGTAGGTCTATTTCTTACACAGCAACGTCATGTTTCACGTGCCATTTCCCTTTCTTTCTTCTTTTCCCTTTCATTTTAGTATTGACGTTGAAATATATTCTCTTGCTTTATTTCGAATTGCAGAAGAGATAGAATTTATCATCGCTAGGACGAGAGATTGTTGTTGGAAGGAATGCAATGGAATGGATGCTTCTTGAGTGATTTCGCTCCGAAAAAAAAATAAAATAAAAAAAAAATAATGATGCTTTAAGATGATCGGAATATGTTTGAATAAAAACAAAAATAAGGAGATAAAAAGATAAGAGAGACATAAAAGAAATTATCCGAAATTATTCTAAAATTAAAAAAGGTATACATTTTTAAAGAATTCTGAAAATGTGAAAACTGCGTATAAGTTAGTCCTCTATAAGGACTATATCTAATAATAGTTATAGAAATATTTCATGTCATCTAAAAAATATAGTAGTAATTTATTACGCATTATGCATGAGAGTAAATATTAAAACATCTATCTCTTTTGTTACAGAGATAAATAAGTAAAGGTAATGATGAAGAAAGAGGGATTGAAAGTAAATTCAGACCGGAGATTAAAAAGTTATAAAGGGAAAGAAGTAAAATCTACGTATAAAAATGCTCTTATTACAGTTTGTTTATATATAAGTATCTAAATAATAAATGAATAATTAATTATAGTCATTTCAGTCTTCTCTAAAAATACAGTAGCGATTTATTACGCGCGATATGATAAAATATGACGAGATATTAACAGAAAATACTATCTTTTTCATTATTTCTTATTAAACATAAATAAGAAAGAAAAAAAAGTAATAATGAAAAAAAGTGGTTGCAAATAAATTTAGATCGGAGATTGCAGAAATAAGTTATAAAGAAGAAAAAATAAAATCTGCGTATATAATAATACATCTCTTTTACAGTCTTCTTATTATAGGTATCTATAATAAATGAATAATTAATATAGGCGTATTTTTGTATGTCTTCTAAAAATACAATAAGCTGTCTATTACGCGCGGCATGAGAATTAAGATATGACGAAATATCAACAGAAACTTTTTTTAAATCTATTATTAGATATAATTATATATGATTTCTTGTAACTTATATTTAAATATAAGTTACAAGAAAAACAATAATAAAAAGTAAGAAAGATGGAATAAAAATTTTATATTGGAGCCTAAAGAAAGAAGAAAAAGAAAAAGAAGAAGAAAAGAAGAAAGAGAAAATGAAGGGAATTGTACATATGTACACAAATAGAATTTTTTCTTAGAATTTACTCTGAAAATCATGGTAGTTGTTGGGATAACATATATAGGTATATTACGAAGAATTTTATGCGAGCTATACTATAATAAAAAATATTAACATCTATTACAATAAAATATAAAATATGCTTAATTAATTTTACTTAAAATATATAGTAAAATTTCAATAATTTTTCAAAAATTACCAATCTGCTTGGTAATAATTTTTATTACGTTGTTTGTAAAATGTCTTTTGCATATTTCAAAAATTCCTATCGTTACCGATAATATTTGATTGGTTGCCAAGTTTGTAGTGAATTCGTATATCATATATTTGAGAGGAGAATTTTCTTATATGTAATTATATAATTAACTTTATGAAAAGCATAGAATATGCTCTTTTATTATCAGAATTGGAGATCACGTAGTGCTTTTGCGTTGCGTTAGTAGATATATAATTGGGGTCAGAATTATAAGAACGACGTGCTTTCTCATTCCGACATATAAATTTGAGCTTGACCCAGATTCTGCATATCGATACAGTCTGGGTAATCTTTTTGCGAGAATCATAAATCGCATATATATTCATTCATATGTATACATACATACATATATACCTATACATATATCTTGAACGACCCATGCGCGCCTGCACGAATGGGCAACCCGTCATGCTGACCTGTTATGTCAGTGCAACAACCGGTGTAATGTTTTATGACCGCCATCTTGTCTCGGATATCGACGGATGTTCGCGCACGCGATTCTCGCCTCGCATTTCAGAGGTCTCTGGGAGTGACGTGGAGCACGCGCCATCTTGTTCTTGTAGAGCGCCGCCATCGGCGCCATCCCCCATCAGCGAAAGCCGGACTTCTTTCCTTCTGTTCTCGCGTGGGGTGAGTGATACGTGTTGGAAATCGCGTTTTATTACAGACATCCTAGATTTCACGAGCGTCGGGAGGCGGGCAGATTGTTCATCGGACTACCCGATTCGAGATCCCTTCATATTTTTCGTCGATTTTCCCGTCGTTCGATCATTATTCGCCGCAACAGAAACGCTAACCTCGAGGAGATGCCCGCCGCACTCGTGCTCGACGTTTCTCTTCCTCGAACGCGCTTCGCGAAGCATCGCCGACAAAAATAACGATTCAAACGTGCACGCTTTTCGTTGGAGAAAGAGAGAGAGAGAATTGTTCAAATGAAATTTTCGTAGCGCAGGAATCACGTGTAACGCATTCTAATCATGTATTCATTATTTGTACCTTTTAGGGATTCGCGATGGGTGCGTACAAGTATATGCAGGAACTGTATCGCAAGAAGCAGAGCGACGTGCTCCGCTTCTTGCTGCGCGTCAGATGCTGGCAGTACCGCCAGTTGACCAAGATGCACCGTGCTCCTAGACCATCCAGACCAGATAAGGCCCGCCGTTTGGGTTACAAAGCCAAGCAAGGTAAGAATTTGGCCGATTGTTCGTCCGATGAAAAAGCATACTCGCGTAAAAATATTCATTTTAACCGATTTTCTGTTTTACCGATATCCAGTTTTAAAGATATTTAAGAGCCAACAATTTAACATTTATACGGTGTCTGCTTCTCAGGTGCATACAGTAAAAAACAGTTTTGTTTTTAGCGCCAAGGTATTCTGGCAATTTATAGCAGTCGTGGAGACATCGTATAAATTTGCCGAATTATTTTTTTCTTTTTTAGATGTCTTGTATACTTTTTATTTCATGAGGAAAGCATATGGCTCCACGACTGTGAATCAATTTTATTTCACATCTAAATTGATGAGTAATTTTTCAATGTGATTATACAGTTATACCGAACTATCTTATTCTAGCATCAGAATGCATGACAATTTCTACGTGAACATTAAATGATGAATTTGGACGTGCACCACTCTGACAGTTTTATGGAGAGACTAATACCTATCTAACGTCTACTGATATATTTGACGAATTAACTTTACGCGACGAATACATAATCGCAAATGGAAAATAAATGCGATATCTTTTTTTTGTGCAGGCTTCGTTATCTTCAGAATCCGCGTGCGCCGCGGTGGACGCAAGCGTCCAGTTCCCAAAGGCGCGACATATGGCAAGCCCAAGAGCCACGGTGTCAATCAGTTGAAACCAACCAGGAAACTGCAGTCGGTTGCCGAGGTAAGATGTTACACAGTTAAATGTGCACAGTTAAATTGCGCAAAAAGAATCTTGGAAATCTCTATGATGAATTGTACCATGCACCACTCTTACATTAGAATGGGGAAACAGTTGTACCTCTGATCACAGACATGCAGAAATAATAGCTTTATTAATATCAATTAACGTCAACCGAACAGAATCTTAAATCTTATCATTATACTTCTAAAAATGATGACAAAAGTTTTTTTTTAATGAATAACGTTGATTTTTTTTCTTCCTTGGATGTCTGAAGCCGACGTTAGTTCGAAAATTACCTTTCTTTTTAACAGGTCTCTTCACTAAGAATGTTTCTTTGCAGGAACGCGTTGGCCGCCGGTGCGGTGGATTGCGAGTACTGAACAGCTATTGGGTAGCTCAGGACTCTTCGTATAAATACTATGAAGTTATTCTGATCGATCCTGCCCACAAGGTCAATATTCAAAATCAATTTATAGTTTAAAAAGTTTCTTAAAAAGTAAAATTATTATTTTATTACTTTTATATATCCGATGATATATCAAATATTCGATATACTTTTTCACATTTGATATGATGACACTTAATATCACCAATGAACGATTACATGATTATTTATCTTCCTTGGATGTCTGAACACAACATAAATTTCGAGAATCATTTTTTAGGGATTTGTTCGTCACACGTTTTTAACATCTCCCTTTGTTTCAGGCAATTCGCAATGATCCTAAGGTAAATTGGGTATGCGACGCCGTGCACAAGCACCGTGAGCTCCGTGGTAAAACTTCCGCCGGCAGAAGCTCTCGTGGATTAGGTAAAGGACATCGTTATTCGCAAACGATCGGTGGTTCGCGCCGTGCGGCCTGGAAGAGGCGAAACACATTATCTCTCCGCAGAAAGCGATAATTATTTTGTTTGTAACCTCCGCAATGCAAGATACATCATTTTATTGCTACGCTTTACGTTGTATCAATATCGTGGCGTATTCTGTAAAAAAAATAAATATTTCTTTCCTAAAACTTGTAAAACTTTGGTATCGTGTTTCCCTTTCTGTACCACATATTCGTATATGATCTCGCGAAATTTCTATAAAAGCATTTGTAATAAAACAAAGTGAAAATGCGTGACGAGAAACGGATAATGGTTTTTTTAACCGCTTTATTTTTCAATCATGCACATTTTCAAAACAATTATAAAGGAAATAACTCATTGACCGGGTCCAGACAGCGACTTGTCCATGAATTTCTTTTTTGCAAAACAGAGCCACCATTTGCTCGGCTTCCCATCCTCGCCGTATACTTTTTCAACAATTCTAGCAGCCGTTTCCTGCCTGATTTGATGAAGATACTGCCTCATAAGATCTGAAAATTGAAAGTAACGTTATATTATCCGGAAATACACGTATGATCTTTACTGATTACTATTATTTACTAACTTCTACACGTGAACGAGTTCGGTACTTACCAGCTTCCGCAGGGCTGCTTGGTTTGGCGTATACAGAATTCAAGGGAAAGCCAGGATCACCGGGGACGTCAAATTTGGAGATAGCAAGGGAAAACATCTCATTCATGGCTTGTGGCTGGGTCGCGCACTTTTGTAGCTTCTTCAAACATTCGGTAATGAATAGAGTGATGTAGATTAAAACTCTGTCGGCCTCGCTCTGCAACCAAAGCACAATTTGACACTTGGAGTTGTATTGTCTCGCGACAAAATTGAGCTTTTAACATTACCTTGATCTCGTACGTCCTGAAGAACACGTTTGCTTTGAAGAAATATAACGCCTCGTCGATGATGTCCTGCTCTTTGTTGTTGAAAGGTGGCGCGGGACCCCTGAATGTGGTTTTGATCGGCAGCAACGCCATGTTCCCGATGGTGCCATGGCTCTTCGTGAAACTCGAATGATACGCCTTAAACAATAGTAAGCAGGAGACACTCAGGATATCACAAACGAGACGGATGACTAATCCGGTTGATCCTAAACTGTGCAACACGCTCGTTGGGCGTTACTATTCCGTATTCGAGGATCGTTTGTCATCCAAGTAACGTAAGTTGTACGCGAGAATGTTTAATTTAGCGAATGTTGAATAGAGACAGAAATAACGGTAGAAATCTGGGCTGAGAAAGAAGTGACACCAAGTGACACCACACTTTGGTTATGTTAAACGGGGTGACGCCCCGCGTTGCTGCATTTACTTCGAGACACCGCACGTTCATGCTGACGCAAGGTGCGAGAACTTACAGGCATAACGACGACGAATAAACTATATATGGACCGGGACGTCGGCTACAACATGCCTCGAAATGTCAAACTGTGTCAAATTGGGCCGAGAAAACCTAACCTAACCACAACCGCAGTTGACAGCCTAGTTCGAACGAGCGACAGCAGGCCGCGCTGAAGAGGCTACTACCGCGTCCAGGGGACGCACACCAGGGGAAAGAGAAGAGAAGAAGAAAAAGAAGAGAAGCCAGCGACGACGCGTGCTTGTGTGGCGGTCAGCATTGCGGAGTCCCCGACGATGACGTCGCGTCGAGGATCGCCGAGTTCGTGAAAAAACGTTGTTCCAAGCCTGGAACGCTCGGCCCACTCGTGCTTCCCCGGAAACGACGACGACGGAGAAAAGTGGGAGGAAGCTCGTCCGCACACGTTTCCCATGCAGATCGACAGCGGGATGTTGACGCGGATGAATCCGGACACCAGCCTGTGCCGCGTCTGTCTGACCGTCGACCACAACAACCAGTGTATCTTCCGCAGGAACTGGGACGGTCCCGACGACTCCTCCTCTGGGCTGTCCGAGAAGCTGCAGTTATGCTGCGGCGTGGAGGTTCGTTTTCCACTTGCACCTTCTGTTTACCTCGCATGCGGACCGCGAGACAATCTTTTTTTTTCTTATTTAGGTCCTGGAAGACGACGGCCTGCCCGCTAACATCTGCCTCGAGTGCGTGATAAAAGTCAACATCGCCTACGAATTGAGGAAACAATGTCAGAAAGCGGACGTTGAACTCAGGAAGCTGTACGGGAAAGCCTCGAGGACAGACGTCACCGGCAACTGCATTCCTACAAAAGTAGTACCTTGCTTCTATACGAGTAAAATAATAATTTCAGTGCTGTTCAGGCACTGTCAAACTGTATCTCTTTTGCTTTGCAGGATCAATGTTGTCAAACCGAGCAATTTCTTATCTTGGGTGCAATCAATTCAGAGGATAATACAGAGCTAAGTGTGGACAGTGAAGTTAACATAGAGAAGAATACCTTGCAATCAAACGTCATGAGACAAGGACAAATACCGGACGCTTTCGAACAAATCAAGCAGGATGTTCTAGTAGACAGCGAAATGGATTTGGACTGCGGCAGTAGATATAAACAGGTAGAACATGACAAAATAGCTAAAAAGGATCTTTATAGAACGAGGAGATTAGCTATGTTTAAAAGGGTCACGTCTATAGAAAATTTGAAGAATTACAAGGAGAGACAGAGACGATATATCAAGAAGAGCGTGAACGTCAAACGCGAGAGCAGCGACGGCGAGTGTCAGACGAAGGCGAGAAACGTCCACGGCAGGATGGAGAGAACGTCCGAGCTCGAATTACAATATAAATGTCAGAAATGTGATAGATTTTATTCCAGTAAGAAGTCTTTAGACAGACACACGTCGACCCATAACGATAAAGAGTTCAAATGCGATAGCTGTGATAAGCAATTCTTCTGTCTGGATAAATTACGTAAGCACGTTAATCTGCACAGAACGAAGGAGAAGCCGAAGCCGGTGTTGTGCAAGATCTGCAACAAGAGTTTCAGGAAGATCGACACCATGGTCAGGCACCTGAATACTCACAAGAAGGCCTATCCCAAGGATGTTTTTTCCATCCTGAAAGAGATACGGGACAAGAGAAAGTTGGAAAATAATCCAGAGTCCTTTGAGATGCCACTTACGATGAACGAGGACGAAGAAACGCAGGCGCACGACGGTCAGTTACACAGTGAGAACGACGGCACGACGAGGGAGCTGAGAAAACGTAACAATGCAAGGGTGGAACAAAGAGACTCGGATATGATGAATAGCGACTCCAGCGATGATAAAACCGAGACGACGTACGACGACGCGTCGCTCTTCCGCTGCAAACACTGCAGCAAGAGTTATCGTACCGAGAGGTCGCTCCAACGTCATCTGCTGGTGCACGACGAAAAGAAGTACGTCTGCAACGTCTGCAACATGAAGTTCTTCCGGCAGGACAGGCTCAAGAGCCACATGGATCGGTACGGTCACGACGAAACCAAGGCGTGCCCGGAGCCGCAAAAGCCGCCGGACGACAAGTCGGCCATCAAGCTGATAAACACCTGGATAAGAGAGGAGCTGGATTCCGATAATGAGGGCAAGGGCTTCCCGTGCGGGGTCTGCGGAAAGTCGTACGACACGAAGAAGTCCCTGATGAAGCATCAGATGAACACGCACGGCGGACAGGACGAGGGCTGCGCGAGCTGCGGTACCGTGTGCAATTGCGCGTACAAGGATCAGGAGAAGAGCAACGAGAAGTCGAAGCCGTACACCTGCGAGGAGTGTAACAAGTCGTTCGAGAAGGAGATCAAGCTGCACCGGCATCTGCGAATTCACGAGCGCGCCAAGGAGCAGCAGGACGCCAACTTCAAGCGTTTCCTCTGCCACATATGCAGCAAGACGTTCCGCCAGAACACCGGCCTCATGTTCCACATGAGGACGCACACGGGCTACAAGCCGCACGTGTGCAAGTACTGCGGCCGCGGCTTCACTTCCAACTCGAACTGCATCAATCACGAGAGGACCCACACGGGCGACCGGCCGTTCGTTTGCCATTACTGTAGCGCCGCGTTCGCGAAATCGTGCACCCTCAAGGCCCACATCACCACGCACACCGGCGAGGCGAACTATCACTGCAAGACCTGCGGCAAGTCGTTCCGTCGACTCAAGTACTTGAAGGAGCACCGATTCACGCACACGGGCGAGAAGCCGTACGCGTGCAAGATCTGCGGCACCGCGTACAGCCATTCCGGCAGTCTCTTCGTTCACGAGAAGAAATGCAAGGCCCAGTACAATAATTATCAGCCGGGGCTCCCGCAAAACGCGCAACAGCAGGTTCCCTACGGTCAATCTCCGCAGACCACCGGCGCGGGCATTTCCATGGCGTCTACCTCTTCGGTAGTCGCTCCTATCATCACTACGCTGCCTCAGGCTCACCTGAATGTCATCAACAGCACTCTGAATGTACAGGCGAACAAGGGCTACATGGACAATGTTCAGCGAATGAACGCACACGCGGCGGCTAACGCGACCACGGTCGTCTCCGCGTCGGGTCTGCACCCGAATGTCGACATCGCCGAGATGAGTTCCGCCGTGAGGAACTTCTCTATCATCGGCCAGATGTTTCACACTTAGGAACGCGTACGAGCGTGAACGTGAATCAAGACTACTGTGATAAATACCTCCCCCCCTCTCCTTTTTTTAACGATACTTGTCAAGATATATTTTACACTTCGACTATAGCATATATTTTGCTTTCTCTTTCAATAATCATCAAAATAAGTATGTTTTGTATTGTACACATCACACAATATGGGAAGATGGGTATGGAATGTATATTTGTAACGTACGATTATTAGAAATTTTTATTATACAGAATTTTTATATACGGCAGAATTCTTATTGACCTGTATAACTGTTATATGGAAATATTTGATAACATAATAGTTACATTCTAATTCATCGAATTGTTATTTCTGTATATACGATCGGTGTAATCATCATGCACGTGATTCGCCCATCGAATCGAGCAAAGTTCAGTCACGAATTCTTACGATAAGTTTTGTTCTGCGTCGAAAACAATTTTTGTAAATTTCGTAACAGACATATTCAGCAAGTTTGAAGATCTAATTATTCTAATTCATGTATACAACATGATTAAATAAATGAATTTTGCACTCATACAGAGTTTATTCGTTTTTCAAATTATTATATTTTAAATTAAAACTTCATATCGCGCGCTGATTTAATTCTCTATTTAAATTCTACATTACTTGCATGGTTTTTAAAATGATTAATTGAGTGCATTTTATACTATGCTATCTTAATTTTCATTGTTCTCTTTGATGATTTACAATTAAATAAAAGTTGATAATATTCTATATATTTTCTAAATAAAGAGAAGTGTAAAAGTAGTTAAATTATGAGATAATTTGTGCAGCATTCGATCGATAAAAAAAATGTGCTCTGTGAAATTTCTACGGCTGGAAGATATTTTATTCCCTACCAGAGAGAAACTAGAAACCTGAGAGAGGCCATCCCGCTCTCGTGCCTCGCCAGCCTCGCCGACTGCCAAGAGTGACGGTGCCGTCATAGCTTTCGGCTCGGCTCGGTGGCCACGACACGTTCATACATGCATCATTTTGCATTGCTTAATTTACTAATAAGTATACATATATATATAGTACAATACATACAAATCATATGACGTTGTAATTATCCTGTTAGGCGAGCTTGGTCAATTTTACATATATACCGTGAGTTGTTTGCAACATCCAATAGCTCAGCGGAGCATGGACAATTGGAATCTGGGTTTTCTCGCAAACGTCTATTTTATAATTCATTAGCACTTTAATTAGACCAATCTTGGTCTGATTAGCGGCGAATCTTGTTCCTAAAAAAATAGCGCATAAAGTTTCAATTATTTCTCAAATAAAGTGCTTATGTGTGCATGTGCGCGCGCGTGCACATGTGTAAAATGAGCGTATGCTTATTTAAGAAAAAAATCAATCTATTAGTTTCTTAAATTACCGATACAGTTTCTTGGACCATCTCCGAAAGGTAAATGATACATGGAATTTCTCTGCTCCATATTTTCCGCGCTAAATCGTTCGGGATCGAAAACTTCCGGATCTGGATAAATATTCGGATCATTATGAATAGCATAAATAGGTATAACCACTTGTAGTCCCTTTCGTAGATCGATTTTAGTCCCCTCAAAAGTGTAATTCCTTACAGGTTTCCTCGCGAGATACATTACTGGTGGATGTTTCCTGAGAGTCTCTGCAAGGTAACACAAACACTTGACTTAACAGAAAGATATTTTCGAATACTTAATCGAGTTTATCGAAGCTCGAAAAATATTTGGCGGAAATTATCGCCTTTCACTTTTTGGAGATCTTATCGAAAAGGAATGTGTAAATTTGCAAATGTTTACAGATAAACTTGACTCACTTAAACTTGAATTACTACAGAATTATTTTTTGAGGGATAAACAAACCTTTAAAAACCATTTCTAAATAGCTCATCTTTTTGATGTTATCGTATGTTATTGCTCCGTTATTATTGTTAAGGACTTCCTTAATTTCCTCTCGAACTTTTTCTTGAACTGATTGATTTTGCGCCAACTCATATATTGTATAGGACATTGTAGAGGAAGATGTGTCGAAACCAGCCGCGAAAAACGCGAACGATTGGGCAGCAATGAATTCATCCGTTACATCTATAAAAATAATAATTTTAATATTAATCTCCGTGACTCTTATGTCTATTTCTATCAATATAGATTAACTTTAAGCTCTGTTTAATTTACTTTTTATTTTTTTATAATTCTTACAGCTGGAAAAAGATAAAAAATAAGTTAAGCCAATATATTAAAATTAATTTATGTTAAGGAAGAAATAGACATTAATCTATACTGTTAGTAACGCTTCGTCAATGAATATTCGATTATCTCTCTCTCTCGAGAGAGAGAGAGAATATAAGCATGTTTTAGAAAATTAAGGAGAATTAAGGACATATTGACGCATTTGAAAGTTGATAAAGTAAGATGCGAAAGATGGAAAAAAATTCCTACTATTAACGCCCAGCTTGTCAGGATTATCCTTGAGATCGATAAGTGTATCGATAAAATCGTGTCGGCGCACGTTGTTCCGCTTCCTGTACTTTATAGTGTCGCGGGTAATGTTCGTTATGAACTTGGTCACGTCATGCTCGTCCAAAATATATCCGAAGTGCTTGTAGATCCACGGAATTTCTCGGAGCAAGGTTCTAAACACGGTCTTTGGAGTGGAACGGAAGATCTTATGACCTATTTCCTGGAACTTATTATTTTCTTCTTTCAGCGCGTTTATTTCGAGGCCGAAAGCGCACGAGCCGATCACGTCGGCAGTGAATTTGGACGTCAGATCCAGGCACTCGACGATACCGTCTTTAGACACTGTCTCGTTCAGATACTTCTCAAAGTGATCGGAACAATTCAACACCAAGTGAAACATGTTCTTCAACTTCCCGGACGTGAAGACGGGCGAGAGCCTCGTTCTTAATGGTCGCCATCTAACAGAGTCGAGGATGAAGAGGTTCATGGACATGGGTTCGGCCTATAAATTATGCATCAGTGTATCAAAAAGCGGGAATTATGTTAGAAAGTTGCCTTTCAAAAGTTTTCATGTGATCAACGCCTGCTCCATCCCCCCTCAAACTAATACATCAGTTCAGCTTCGTGCTGAAGAGAAAAAGAAACATTCTTTCCAACTCTTAATTTTCTTAGTTATTTATTGTAACTATGATACGTACATTTTGAAACAGAAAGAGAGAGGAACAAATTAAAAATAACTATATTTTAAATAATTATACTGAAAATATTATTTTTGGTATATTTTATATCACGTTTTATTTTATTTTTATCATATAGTTCGTCGCTCCTCTATTTTATTTATTATATATTATTATATGTATTATATATCTATACATTAAATTATTAAATTATACGTTATAATTATCTATTACGTGCCTATATAAAGTTCAAGAATTATACCTTTTCATAAACAATTCCTTCCCGCTCGGCAAAGATGGTGAAATCCTTGATCAGCACCTGCTTGATGTACTCAGGATCTCTCAGAATGAGCACGGGGTTCGCTCTTAAAAACACACCCATCATGGCCTCTTTCGGGTATCGGTCGTAAATATCTTTGTAGAAATCGCCCATGCATTTCTTGCCCAGCATGAATTCGGCGATGTTGCCGAAGAGCGGGACGGGTTTCGGTCCAATAATCCCGCGCGATGTCCAATAGTCAAAGTCGGCGGTGAAATAATAATAAAGTAAATATAAGATCACCACGCAGGCACAGAGAATTTCGAACATCCCCGCAGCCATCGTAGTTAACTGACCGCGGCGCTTATACGGTTATGACAGACCTGTTTCGTAATTGTTCAATTTACTCACGGCAGCCTTAGCTCAAATACTAGCTGATGACAGATCAACGACATTTACGAGAAAACACTGATGTCGACTGCGCAACAGTCTAAGAAGACTTTCCACTGCTTCCTGCTACGCGACTCAGGAGAGAATGACTCAGGACATATATATTGGTGGATTTTATAATCATAGCCTCATTATAATCGTGCTGAATATTGAGTTACAGATATATTGATTTATTCCACTTTTAATCATGGTAAAATTTCATTATCTACTAATAATAAATTACGGACAATAAGTTAAAATTCATATTTTTTATTTTTAGAACGCTTTGTAAGGAAATCTGAAACGGTTAAAAGCATTTATAAGTACAATAAGTGAGCAGACAGCACTTGCGCATCTGTTACATCACGAGACATTATACATAAAAGTAATATCTTCCTTTGTTATAAATCAAAGTGGAAAGATGACGTATCATTTGTATACCTAATTGCTCTAAATGAGAATGAAAACATCATTTATGTCAAGAAGATCCAGAACTGCTTGTAATTCTGATAAGATAAATATAATATATATATGTTAATATGTGTTAACATATTCGCCGACGTTCAGTAATATTATACGCGACATATTCGTAATAGTCGTTCGATTGTCGAAGGACTCGTCAAAACTGTGGCATTGTTCGACTGATAATTATAATGCTATCATCAGAGATAATGATTATCAGTCGAACAATGCCACAGTTTTGACGAGTCCTTCGACAATCGAATGACTATATAACGAATATATCGTTCCAACATACATACTTATATTTTAATTCTTTGGATATCAACGCACAAATTATTTTTTAGATGTGGCGTAGTTTGGGCATTATGCTGAACTAATAAATAATTTGTATCCATACGCTTGAAAAGGACCGAAATCACGGTCGAAACGTAGCGTTTTTTAAAATAAATTTGGCCAGTTGGGTCGAGTGAACGACACTTACGCTGACCTTTACTCAATTCTCATCCAATACTACCCTTCTCCTCTCACTTTAACCCTTTGGACCAACGGCTTAACGTCTCTTTCCGAAAGACGGAGCCCAGTTTGCTCCGCACAAGAGCCTATCTTGCACGGAGGGGCGCAGCTTTCGGAAAAACATTCCATGTTTACATGGCTCTAGTGGACTCAAACCTGCAATGGTTCCTCAGATTACGAGTCTGGCGCTCTACCACTAGACCGCACTGCCGCCCCCCTACTTATTAATTATATAATATATTAACTCCTTATAGTTTCGCATGAATGATTGTAAAAATAGCACTTTACGATTGTATAGGAAGCACATATTTTCATATGTATTTATAAAAACTTTTTGAAAACGTAAAATGTCATTTCTTTTTATTTAGTGCCATTACGAAAAATCCTTAATTATATGTTTTAAAAATGTTTTCACGAATTGCTCATTTATCATGTAACATGCGCAAAAATACAAATGAATATTTCTTTTTATAACTGTTAAATAATTTAGGAATGCAAGAGTTAAAGACTTTTTAAAAAGATCAACTTGTAAAATATTTTATTTTGTCTATATATATATATATATTCCATTCTAATATTTTATTCTTACCTATTTAAATAACGTTTTTTTTCTCATTTATTCTAGAACGGATTGATACAAATGGACAACCATCTACATTGATATTAAGTATGACTAATTACTTCTGGAGAATCAACTGCTTAATAGTGAATGTTCTTGTTGTTGCTGTTGTTGCGTTATACCATACCCGTTATAGCGAAATGTTTAATTAAATATCGATTCTAGAATCTCAATCTCAGGTAGAAAATATGGAAATGCAATGAGTTGTGCACGCCGCGCCGGTAGATACGAAAGATACGCAAACTCAAACTAAGCTCATAGTCATTTTTAAACTCTCATAAATTTTTCCGTTGCAATTCCTCACTAATACTAATACTAATACTAATAAATGTTGGTACTTGTATATCTCGTACTATCGCTGTCGTTATGCGGAAAATCTCATCGCAATCAAAATAAGAACAAGCCGCGTAACTTATAACGATTACATCTTCCACATATGCATAATGCGTCTCTCTAAAATTTTACAAGTACGATGAAAAATTGCAATTATAAAACAGAATTACACACGAGACTACATTTTGGATAAAGATAACATCTTCTTGGGAAACTTCGTCACATAAATAAAAATAAAAAATTATACGTTGGAAATTTTTTTGTCAACTTTTTTGTTCTCATCCATATATTGTGTCCTAAAAATAAATCTGTGGTTAAAACTACATAGATATCTATATATATAGATATAGATATATTACATAGAATAGATCTCTATATCTATATAACTATATAGATATCGATATATATATATATATATATATATAGATTTAATTTATATGTATATATTAAATTTTTCATTACAAAGAGAGACTTGTCACACGTGAGATATATTGTTGAGAAATATAAACAGAATATAAAATATTTTCTTAATTAGAATATTCTAATTCTCTAATTCGTCTCCGCCTTCATATAAGGCTGGAAGATATTTTATACCCTACTGTGAGAGAGAGAGAGAGAGAGGAGATATGTGACTACTGCATGAGTGCATATATACTACATATCAGTGTATCTGAAACCGGAGCTTGTCGAACCGAGATTCGTGCCACTTCGAAAAGCAAAAGCGCGCCGATTCTTTCCCGCCTTTCGCATCATTCCACATCATTCGGCTTTCGCTTTCCGAAGCCGCACGATTTTCGCTTCGGTGAGCCGGGTGAGCTTCGACTTTTAGGCCCAGTTTCACAAGTGTCGGTTAACTTTTACTCTTAGATTAACTCACTCTTCGTCTCCTTCTAACGTCCCCCTTTAGAAAAAGACGAAGAGTAAGTTAATCTAAGATTAAAAGTTAACCGACACTTGTGAAACTGGCCCTTAGCTGCACGCACGGATTCACGGATATCTATGTATGTGTGTCGGTAAGGCAGACCACGTCTAGTAGTGGGGAGCTTCTACCTACGTACACTAGGAGGCTGTGCTGGCGTACTCAAAACAAACAGCACAGTGAGTGAGTGAGTCAGTGAGCACGAGCACAGTAGTTGGCCTTGGTAGTCTGCCTGCCGTCGAACATCATCGATTGGTGACTGTAACAGCACATTACTGTTGACGCCTCTTATCTGCGTAGAATTCTCTAAATTGTAAGTAGAACTTAATGCACTATCGTATCCCTTTAGATTAAACTAGATAGATTTAACTTAACTAATTCGAGATCATAAATATTGTGATATTACGTCGAATATCTCGCGTAAGGGCGTTTCGTGGTCACCGCCCGGCGCCCGGCTAACGAAAATAGTGACCGGCAAAATATTAGTGACGCTTGTGAAAGCGGATTAATTATAGTCGTTTTATCATCGTGCTGAAGCAACAATTATGACAAGATTGATTCGGGGAATGACTCGGTACAATCGTCGCCTTCGGAGAGTATCGTGTTACAACAGAAAACAGAAATACACATATGTACGTATATGCATATATTAAAGCCGGTTCTACAATACGTCTCAAACGATGGCAACTGCTAGTTTGAAAGTGTTTATTTCCACGTTGCGCTTGTCGATTGCGGTTGTCGAAAGAGAGTTGGCGAACTTTTAAACTTTTTTGGCGACAGTAACGCAATCGGCAATCAGAAATGACCACTTTTCAACTATAAGCAGTTGCCATCGTTTGCGAGGTATTGTAGAACCGGTTTAATCCAGAATGGTCAGGGACGTAGGGGAACGCCTCAATAATGGCGTCTTTCATAATATTGGAAGCGTATAATATTTTATAAAGTATAATAAATCGTGATTAATAACAATCACATATTTTAAAAGGCTGAAAGTTGTAGGGTATGTCACGTTTAATTAAAAACATACACATTTAATTCTTTTTCCTATACAGAATATTTCAAACAGATGTTTTGCATTTCTTTGTAGATTTTACATCCCTCTCCACAATATGTTTAAAAGTTGCAAGAGAATTAATACCATATGCTATATTTAGAAACTTTTATGTATGCAATATTTCCAGTTATGTATTTCGTTTGAAGAAAGATATGAAAAACTGTACTCATTTGATGAAGATGATACCGATAAAAAATTGATTTTGAAGTCCCATTACAATTTTGATTTACACACATGTATGTGTGTGTGTGTGTATATATATATATATATATATATATATATATATATATATATATATATGTAAATCAAAATTGGAATTAAAAAATTAAATATACTAGAATTAAATATCGATAAAAAATAAATTTAAAGCTGAAAGTTCGTTTCAGTAAACAAAACTTTTTTAATAAGATCAGAAAATATTGAAGCATATTCTCCGTCTTTGAGATATCCTCATGTTTCTAATCTAGAATTATGATGACGATGAAGAGAAGAATAACAAGTACTTTTCTTTCAGCAACATGCCTTCCTACAAGCTGATTTACTTCCCCATCACGGCATTGGCCGAGCCAATTCGATTTTTGTTCAACTATGCTGGCATCGAATTTGTGGATGAACGTTTCGATAGGAAAGATTGGCCAAAACTTAAGCCGAGTAAGTACAACTGATAAATATTAATAGTATATGTCTCTGTTAGCGATTATCTATCGTGTACTTAATCCTGCTTGTTCATTCCTGAAATCCGATTTACGAATTAGTTGACGTGGCAAAAATCTTACATTATCTTCTGGAATGCCGATTGACCATTACTATGTACTTTTTTATTCTTAAACATAAATTATTTTAATGTAGGGAATATGCTACATTTTATACATTAGGAGACATTCAATTTTTTCATTTAGCTTGTAAACGATACAACTAGAAATAAATGTTATCTCTTTCGACAATAGAATCTTCTATTTTTTATTATATATTGTAATGTTCTGTACAAGATAATTGATATTGCTAGGTAAATACTTTGCGTTGTATTCTCACTTGATGAAAAACATACTGTCGTTTCATTGCATGGTTCAACGTAGATAGATTTCCTTGTTGATGTAAGAAAATCAATTATGTGTCGTTCAAGTTAGCCAATCAATCGTCGAGAAACCATAAGATTTGAGAGACAAACCATTCAGTATCATAAAGCTATATAAAAGGCTGAAGAGCATTTTAATGAATTGTATAGCAGAAAAATAAAATTTGTCATAGAAATAAAAATTAAGATTTGTATTGCCAAACTCAACTTAGAAATGAAATTGTATTTATCTTTAATTGTGTAAATATTAATTGCCAAAACTCTTTAATGTATGCATATAAACAATTGCTATAGGTATAAATTCCAACTTTTGTAGATTTGAATGAATAATAATCGAAATGGTTTTTCTATAAATCTTATTCAATTTTAACAGCACCTTGCATTCATGTGTCTTAATATCATTTTTTCAGCTATGCCATTCGGCAAAGTACCCGTGCTTGAAGTAGACGGAAAGAAGATCGATCAGTCCGCAGCTATTTGCCGTTACTTGGCGAAGCAATGTGGTCTTGCCGGCAAAAACGATTGGGAGTCTCTGGAAATCGATGCGACCGTTGACACCATACACGATTTACGCGCCAGTGAGTAGATGACATACTGCTTACGCTATATTTTTCCGATTACTTTATTTACCAGGGGAGCGGAGATTTACTTTTAAAACAGATTTGAATCACAACATTAATAGGTTCACATTTCGATAATGCGAACAGATTTATTCCGAAATAATGATATATAGAGAAGAAACAGGTTTTTCTACATTCGCGTTATAAATTCGATCTACTGAAATGATTAAATGTCATTATCTTATTTCTCTTATCATTCTTTTGCTTGCATTAGATATCGCTCGTTTCTTCTATGAGAGTAACGAACAGGCTAAAGAAGAGAAACTTAAAGCTGCCAAAGAGACGGTGCCGTATTATTTGGAGCGTTTGGACGCTCAGGTGAAGAAGAATGGCGGTTACTTTGTCGGTGGTACTCTGACGTGGGCCGATCTCACTTTCGTCGGTCTTTTGGACTACTTGAACCATATGATGAATGAGGACATCGTCGAGAAGTATGAGAATCTAAAACAACTCCAAAAGAAGGTTGAGGAATTACCGGCCATCAAAAGCTGGATCGAAAAGCGTCCACCGACCATCTATCCGAATTAATTTGGGTAATTCTATAAAGTGATGGTTGATTTTTCTCCAAATCGTTTATCTATGTACGGTAGGCGTTTATAATAGATTCAGGAAATACGCATTGGAGATACAAATGTTTATTTTATCAGTTGGAGGCTTGTTACTCAAATTGTCACGTGACAAAAATATTATAAGACTATATCTAATTAAAACTTGAATTATTTTTTTTCATTATGTAATTTTGTACCTCAATAAATCACTACTATTACTTATTTTTTTCGTCGATTTTTTTGTATTCACAAAACTTACCTTTCCATTCGTTCAATTTATTATAAACTGTCGATATTCCTAATCTAAAATAACGTAAAAATATCGGAAGATTACATCATAGATATCTAACAGGTAGTTAAGAAAATGTTTGAAAAATTGGTCTTTTTAGACGCTTTTATAATATTATTTTTGGTTGTCCCTTCAGGATATTTCTGCTTGCTTACCTCGACAGTGATTGAGTCTTGATAATTCGCAAATAGCAAAGGGCCGTAAGTGCCGAGGGTTTTTATACGTGCGCAGAACGATGGATGTGCTGGGAATGACGCACCCTGAGAAACAATCACCGGAAATGATTAAGCACATCTTATTCGCGGAAATTGTAATGCAATGACCCAGGTGGTCCGTTAAAGATTATTCCTTTAGTGGGATATTGATAGCTGCGGTGGCTAAGCTAACGTAATTTCGAGAACAACGTGAGACGGATGTGACATAAGAAAGATAAGAAATGATACAGCTGCGATACTTTCAACGAGTCTAAAACGTTACATCCTTCCTAGAATTAATGCCGCTCGAGAAGTTTTAAATTCTCGAACATTCTTGAACATGAATGTTCAAACATATGTTGTGCTCATAAATGTTCATAAATGCCTGCGTATTGAAGATGTTTGAATATATCTGTTCACATTATTTAAAGTTTTTATTTAAAATATTATAACTGTAAAGTATAATAAATGTGTATATATATATATAGTCAATAAGGTGGCAGTGCGGTCTAGTGGTAAAGCGCCAGACGTAATTACGAAGAACCGGGTTCGAGTCCAACTGATCACAGGAATTTTAATATTCTAAACTGCACCCCTTCGCGAGAAATTAATACGGAGACTCTTGTGGGAGAAACTGGGCTCCGTCTTTCGGAAAACCGTCCAACATATAGCTGGCAACTGTTATGTGTATTCCCCATTTGCCATCATGCCAAGGTGCTGTAGGCTAACCACCACCAGCACATCTAAATTTAAGGCGATTATTAAAACCTCCCAGAAGGTCCTACGTTCCTCTTAGGAATTAAAAAAACTAATCATTAGTCCATAATTGATTACATTTATCTTTCACGACAAAATAAAACATCCGACAAATCGAGCTGCTTGTTTTTTCTAGTAAAATCCGAATGTTCTCTCATCGTCACTTATTCCACATGCGCAGAAAAGAAACCTCGTTGGGTGTTGCGGGGATCGGCATTCTCTGCTACAATATTTGTAGTGCATGCGATGATTTTTCATTCAATTACATATTGAATTCTAAAGAAAACAATTAAAATGTTATTTACATATGTATACAATTGTGTTCAAGAACATAGATAAAATAATTCATAATAAATATTCAAAAATTTTAATGTTTAAAAACAAAAGAAGAAGTGATGTAAAGTAGTTCTGTACTGTAAATTGAGGATCTCGATTTAAAATATAACACTTTTGAGTTAAAATTGAAAAAGACAATAATTTAGAATTTGAATGCAGGTGGATAAAAAATCGATTATCTCATGCATCACAAATATTGTAACAGAAAATCCCGATTCCCACAACACCCAGCGGGGGTTTTTTTACGCGCACGTGAAATGCAAGTTTTACAATTACGAGCAGATACATTATTTTAGCTCGGACGCTATAGACCCACGTTTACAGACGGAGGGTTAAAATATTAATTTACCAGGAGAACATATTAGTGTTCCATATTTGGTAGAATTGTTTCCATCAATTTCGTTATCGTTGAAATAGGAAGCATATGTTTTAATATTTATTTCTGATCGAGGAAAATATGAAAACGAGTGGATAACCGCATTATCTAATAAGATATTGATCGAATCAATTAAGGTTCTTTTCATTGTTATTCTATCGACACCGTTCTTTTACCTTTCTACCCTGCTTTTCCTTCCTTTTTTATATTTACTTGACAATTGACTTATACACATTCCTTTTCTTCCTAATGTCAATTTTCCGTTGGTTCTCAGATATATTAATCTATTACTTATTCTCGTTCTTGCTTAACATTTCTGTCAATGCATAATTCTTCCTATCAATGTATGAGTATCCGGGTACCCACTGCGTGTTTTCGACATTGCACTGTGACATGTTCTTTATAGTATTGCTGGGCATCATTTTAGAGACTTTTTGACAAATTTAACATCCTTCAAACGCAAGGTACATTTAATATCGAGCACATGATATTTCTCAAAAATATGGATGTGATAATTCCAGATTTTCGCCATCTCGCCTCTCATTAACGGTACGTTATCACATAGGCTATCTTTATCAACATCGCTATTCGAGATACGAGTTCTTTAATGACGAATAGTTTTAGATAACGCTAGGAATTGTCAGGGAAAATCTTGAAAAACGTTTAAAGGGTGGTTAAGATACGTTGGAAAAAACTGGAACATTTTTCCGATGCTGATATATGTAGTATCCACGATATTATATAAGCGTAGCTTTGCGTTTTCGGAATATGCATACGTGCGTTATCGTAGCGAGCGAGGACGAGAAGCACGAGGAGTTGTGATATGAATCAGCCAGCAGCGAAAAGGTGTCGGATGTCGACGCCGAGGCCGTGAGGACGAGAAACAATAAGAAGAGGCAGAGTCGAGTCCGAACAGCGAGCGAGTTACGACGTTACGACGTGCTTCTGATAAAAATAAAATAAAAGAGGAGTTCAGTTCGCCGCAAGATTTGCCGGTTGGTGACTGTAACAGCGCATTACCGTTGGCACCTTCCCCGTCTGTGTAGAATTTTTTAAATTGTGTGTAAATAGAACTTTATCCATTCTTATTATTTAAACTGATTGAAGATTGTATATATAGATATTGTAATATTACATCAAGTATCTCACGTAAGAGCGTTTTGTCATCGCCCAAGGACGTAAGAATACCTGGACGGAGCGTAAGCTAGGTATCTCTTTTAAACGCGGGGAGTGAAGCCTAAAGAGGTGAGAGATCTATTATCGGCTGCATTCGGGGAGCGCGGTATTAGCGTTATTTGCTTATTCTATCCTTGTTTTACACCTAATGAGCGATAAAGATAGAATGATTCAATAGCGCTAATAGCGTGCTCACCGAATGCAGCCATCGCGTCTCAGATTTAGCGTAGTCTACTTTCATGTCGCGCGGTATCACTCGACTAGAGACATAAGGCCTGTTCGTTTTAGCTGCACTTCTTGTGTACGGTTCATCTTTTCTCTTTTTCTCTCCAATGTAAAAAGAAAAAGAGAAAAAATAAACCGTGCAAAAAAAGTTCAGTGAAAACAAATAGGCCTATTGCAACGATCACATTCCGTGAAATTATAATATGCCGCCATGTATCGATATGTTTCAATTGTTGCACGAAAAAATAACGTGATTACGTAAAGTGATTAATATAGTGGTTAATATAGTGATTACTAGTATAATATGATTATTAGTATAATGATTATTAGTATAATGATTATTAGTATTATTATAGTGTATATAAGAGCAAGAGCAAGAGCAAGAGACGTGAGTACGCGTTATTCTGAGACATCCCGAGCGCAGAACGAGAAAAGAGAAGCGGAAGAAAGTGTGACTGTAAATAGGAGAGAGGAAGGAGAAGGAAGAGGGGAGTGGGCAAGGTGGAGGTAAAAGAGGTGAGTGAAGAAGGCCGGGCAAGTGAAATGAAGTGAAATCATTTTACAGATGTAGAGAGGAGAGTAGAGGAGGAAGGTGTGTCGGCCACGGTGTGACGGAGGAAGGGAGAAGAGGAAGCAGCGTAAGCTAAAAGAACGACGAGAGGGTGGTGCAAGGGGAAAAGGGAGAGAAGGTGGAGAGAAGGCAACAGAAAGGAGAGAGGAGAAATGGAGTGGTCGGAGGACCTAATTAGGGTGTTAAATAGAATAGGGGATGAGTTAGGGAGGATTAGAAAGATTATAGAAAGAAAGGAAGGGGGGTCGAAAGGAGAGGAGAGTGTCGAGGAAAGGGAGCGGAAGGATGATGGAGAGAGGAGCGAGTCGGGAAGCAAGACGGAAGAGAGAAGTATCAACGGGGAGGAGTTGTGGAAGGAGGTGAAGAGGGGAGAGGAGAGAAGACTAGGAGAGGAGGCAGACGAGATGGAGAAGACAAGGAGATTGAGGGAGAAAGTGAAGAGGATGGAGGAGGAGAGGGAGGAAAAGGAGAAAAAGAGGAGAAATGTAATTTGGAGGGGGCTGGATGGAAGGGACGCGGAAGAAAGGAGGGGTTTTATGGAAAGGGTGACGGAGAAGGTAATGGGAAGGATGCTGAGGATAAGAAGGGTATGGGAAAGGAAAGGGATAGAAGGGAAGGAGGTGGTATTGGTGGAGATGGGGGATGAGAAGGAGAGGGCTGAGTTACTTGAGAAATATTGGGAATTTAGGCAGAGGTGGGGGATAGTTGTTGATGAGGATCTCACTATAAAGGAGAGATGGATGAAGAGAAGAATTCTGGAGAAGGCGAGGGTGGAAAGGGAAAGAGGCAGGAGAGTTATGACAGACAATAGAAGAATTTGGGTTGAGGGAAAGGAGATTTTCTGGAATGAGGAGGAAGGGAAATGGGAAGAAAGATAGAGGGCAAAGGCAGGAGAGGGGGGAGGGAGGTTGGCTAATTGAATGTTCACAGAGAAAAAAGAGGAGAAGGTGATGGAGCAGTCCGAAAAGGCAGGTGAGGAGGTAGAGATATAAGATGCGGAGTGCGGAAGGGAGGAGAAAGGAGCAGGCTGGAGGAGATAAGACAGAAGGCGAAGAGGAGGAGGAAGAGGAGCTCAGGCGGAGGATGCGGAGTTGAGGGAAGAGAGAAGGAGTGAGAGGGATTGGAAAAGATGGAGGGCGGGGGTGGGGTCCGTGAAGGTGGGAGGGTAACAGACTGTAAAGGGTCGCTTACAGCCAGGTCGGGAATAGGGGTGTTGTGCATTATGTAAGAGGTTTGGGTACGTTCCTCACAAAAACGCCTTATAAACCCTGCGGGGACATACAACAAACCTATCTATATCTATCTATCTATAGTGTATATTATAACATGCCGGCGTCGCTGCCATCTTACATATCTCATTTGTTTCAATCCAATAGACAATTTATTCCCCTTACCCTTTGTGCTTCATCCCCGCAGCAATACGCTCTGTCTAGGTATTCTTACGTCCATGTCACCGTCCGACTAATTAGTGGCCGGCAAATTAGTGACGCTTGTTGAAGTAATTAGTCAGATTTATCACCATGACGAAGGAATTAAAAATGACAAAATTGATTCGGAGAATAATTTTGATATAATTTGTTACATTCAAAGAGTATCGCGTTACAGCAAAAAGTATGATTCGGAAAGGAAACTCAGTAATGACGTCTTTCATCAATATCGAAATTGCATATTTTATAAAGCATAAATCCTAATTAAAAAGAAAAACATTGTATAAAAATTCCGAGAATTGTAATAGCATGTCAATTAAACATATATTTCTTCTTCCTATGCAGAATATATTAAATAGAAATTGTACGTAAATAAATGAATAATCACGTTTGTATGCATCAAATATTAAAATAACAAAGACCAATAAACGAACAATATTATATTGCTCCTTTATTGACCATTTTATATTAAGTTTTATATTTCCACATCATTATGTATGCAATATGTTTGAAAGTTACAAAAAAGCAGAAAAGTTGCAAAAGAATGAGAATACCATATGCTTTGTTTAAAAATGTTTATATATACAATATTTCCAGTCATGTATTTAGTTTGATAAGAAAGATAAGAAAATATGCATGTCTTATGATTAATTGCGTAATATAAGTTATACTATTACAGATTAAGAGCTTGCGGTGTTTAGCGCATAACCATTTTTTTTTAATAAATAGTTTTATATAATCAGTAGCTGTTTATAACTACTCGAACATTAATCAAACTGTTTAAAATTTTGGTGACAATTGTTCGAGATCGCGAATGCTCGAGATCACGAATGTTCTTGAATATTTTTATTCTTAATTAGTCGACGCAGTGTCATGCGATCGAGTCACGTCGGAAGTGTAACACGATATTTATCCAGCGAATCGCCGCTTATCTGTTTCGCGCTCACGTCTTCAGAATTATACTCCGTACGATATTTTCAATTACGGATGGATATTTCCAGATTAAGAGCGAAAGTGAACTCTTTATCAGACTTTATCTTATAGAATTCAATATCCTTCAAACGCAAGTTAAATTTAACATAAAAAATATCGAACACATGATAATTCTCAAAAATATATAGGTGTAATGATTTTTGCGCAATATCTGGTCTTTGCATATAAAATTGTAGACTCATACTTCCAGATTTTCGTCCCAGTTTAATGGTGCATTATATAGTCTATCTTTGTCAGTATCACTACTCAAAATACAAGTTGATAATGAATAATTGTCAGATAACGCTCAGATCAACTCTCTAGTGAGTTTCTTCTAGAGATCGAAAGTGAGCCACGTCACAACGACGAAGTGGGGATATCTCCTGATAGGAAGATGAATAAAAGAGGAGTTCAGTTCGCCGCAAGATCTGCCGTTTGGTGACTTATTACCGTTGACACCTTTTCCGTCTGTGTAGAATTCTTCAAAAATTGTAAGTAGAACTTACCCACTTATATTATTCAAACTGATTCATGATTGTAAGATATTATTGTAATATTACATCAAATATCTCACGTAAGAGAGTTATGTGGTTACCGCCCGACTAATTAGTGGCCGGCAGATTTATAGTGACGCTTTGTGGAAGCGAATTAATTAGTTATATATTTATCACCATGACGAAGCATTAAAAACGACAAAATTCATTCGGAGAATTAATTTGGTATAATCGCCGCAATTCAAAGAGTATCGCGTTACAGCAAAAAGTATTATTCGGGAAGGTACTCAATAATGACGTACTTCATCAATATCGAAATTGTATGTTTTATAAAGCATAATAAATCCTATATAATTAATAAAAATAACATTGAACAAAAATTCTGAGAACTGTAATGTCTTGGCAATTAAACATATATTTCTTTTTCTTATGCAAAATATTTTAAATAGAAATTTTATGTAAATAAATAAATATAATCACGCTCGTATGCATCAAATATTAAAATGAAAAAGGCCAATAAACGAGCAACATTATTGCTCCTTTATTGGCCTTTGTCATTTTAGTAGAAGTTCTTATACATTTCCAGATTTACATCAATTGTATACAATATGTTTAAAAATTGCAAAAAAAAAGCAGAAAGGTTGCATAACAAGTTGAGAATACCATATGCTATATTTAAAAATGTTTATACGTGCGATATTTCCAGTCATGTGTTTAGTTCGATAAGAAAGATAAGTAAATATGACTTGTAATGATTGCGTAAGGTAACTTATAGTATTACAGATTAAGAGTTTGCGGTGATTAGCATATAACAATTTTCTTAAATAAATGTTTTTTATATAATCAATAGCTTTTTATAACTATAATACTCGAACTTTTATCAAACTGTTTAAAATTGATGACAATTTTAATCCAAATTCAATTTCAATTTTAAATTAAATGATCAAAAATAATACCGATCAAAATTGGTTTTAAAGTCTGATTTAAATTTTGATTCACGTATATTTAATAAAGCTTAGAATTAAATATCAATAAAAAATAAATTTAAAACTGAAAGCTCATCTCAGTAACTAAAACTAGTTTAAAGAGATCGAAAAATATTGGAGCATATTATCTACTGTTGAGATATCCTCATGATCCCAGCATTATAATAACGATAAAGACAAAAATAATTAACAAGTGCTCTTCTTTCAGCAACATGCCTTCCTACAAGCTGAGTTATTTCACCGCCACAGCATTGGGCGAACCAATTCGATTCCTATTCAGTTATGCTGGCATCGAATTTGTGGATGAACGTTTCGATTATGAGAAAGATTGGCCAAAACTAAAACCGAGTATGTACAACTGATTAACATTAATAATAACATGTCGCTGTTAGCGATCACCTGTCGCGAACTAATAGAGCTCGATCATTCCTAAAATCCGATTTACAGTTGACGTGGCAAAAATATAGTTTTTACATTATCTTCTGGAACGCTGACTGAATCGTTGTCATATGCTTCTTTATTTCTACTAGACATAAATTACTTTCGAACCCTGGCTGGGGTAATATTTTTCGCAATAAAATTTAAAACTATTTAATTTAGAAATTACATCATCTGACCAAAAGCGTTGGTCGAAATTAATAATGTCTCGATGATTGATCCGAAAAAGTGCTGTGTGAATCCGACAAAGCGAGTTGGCTCACAGTTTTTTCAATGTTCACATCGAAAAGACGTTATATATTGCCAGTCAGTCGATTTAAATTACTTAATTGTTATTCTATATACTGGCGAAGAAAATTCATTATTCTATAAATTATTTTGATGTAGGGATCTACATTTTATACATAATAAGACATTCATTTTTTCATTTAGCTTTCTTGTAAACGACAGAACTGGATATAAATGTTATCTCTCTCAAAAAGAACCTTCCATTTCTTATTACGTATATACGAATTGCGATGTTTTTGTATAGGAAAATTGATGTTGTTATGTAAATGCAATGCGTTGTATTCTCACTTAACGAAAAGCATACTGTCGTTTCATTGCATGGTTTAATGGTAAATAGATGTCCTTGTTGATGTAAGGAAATCAATTTCGTGTCGTTCAAGTTAGCCAATCAATTATTGAAATACCATAAGATTTGAGAGACAAAAGATCTTCCCTTTAATACATCTATATAAAAGGTACTCTATATACAGCTATATAAAAGGCTGCAGAGCTTTTTTTATAAATTATATAGCAGGAAAAAAATTGTCATAGAAATGAAAATTAAGATTTGTATTATCAAACTCAGACTTAGAAATGTAATTGCACTTATCTTTAATTGTGTGTAATTATTAATCGTCAAAACTCTTAATGTATGCATATAAACAATTACTGTTAGGTATAAATTCCAATTTTTGTAGATTTGAATTAATAATAATTTAAATGGTTTTTTTATAAACATTATTCAATTTTAACAGCATCTTGTATTCATGTGCCTTAATATAATTTTTCAGCTATGCCATTCGGCAAGGTACCCGTGCTTGAAGTAGACGGAAAGAAGATCGATCAGTCCGTAGCTATTGGCCGTTACTTGGCGAAGCAATGTGGTCTTGTCGGCAAAAACGATTGGGAGTCTCTGGAAATCGATGCGACCGTTGACACCATACACGATTTACGTGCCAGTGAGTAGATAACATACTGCTTAAGCTATATTTTTCCGATTACTTTATTTACCACGCCCGGAGATTTACTTTTAAAACAGATTTGAATCACAACATTAATAAGTTCACATTTCGATAATGCGAATAGATTTATTCCGAATTAATGATATACAGAGAAGAAATAGGTTTTTCTACATTCGCGTTATATAAATTCGATCTACTGAAGTGCTTAAATGTCATTATCTTATTTGTCTTATCATTCTTTTGCTTGCATTAGATATCGCTGGTTTTCACTATGAGAGTAACGAACAGGCTAAAGAAGAGAAACTTAAAGCTGCCAAAGAGACGGTGCCGTATTATTTGGAGCGTTTGGACGCTCAGGTGAAGAAGAATGGTGGTTATTTTGTCGGCGGTACTCTGACGTGGGCCGATCTCACTTTCGTTGCTCTTTTGGACTACTTGAACTACATGATGAATGAGGACATCGTCGAAAAGTATGAGAACCTGAAACAACTACAAAAGAAGGTTGAGGAATTACCGGCCATCAAGAGCTGGATCAAGAAACGTCCGCCGACCATGTATCAGAAATAATTTGGATACTTTCATAAAGTAATGGTTTATTTTTCGACAAAATTATAATTATTATTCGTTGACGTTTGATTTGAATAAAATATTGATTTTATCTTTTCGGGAAATCAAGTTTATATTCATGTATTGTATAAGAAATTTAGGAAATACGCATTGGAGATACAAATGTATATTTTATCAATCGTTGAAGGCTTGTTGCATGTATCGTCACATGATAAAAATTTTATTATTTTGTATCTAATTAAAGCTTGAATTATTCTTTTTATTGTGTAATTTTGTACTTCAATAAATCGCTACTTTTATTATTATTTTTTGTTGATTTTTCTTCTCTTTTTCGTATTCACAAAACTTACTTTTCCATTCATGCAAATATTATAATTCGTCGATATTCTTAATCTAAAATAACGTAAAATTATCGAAAGGTTACGTGATCGATATTTAACGGATAGTTAAGCAGATACATTAGAAAAATTGGAAGTGGCTTTTCGACGCTTTTACAATGTTATTTTTTATTGCCCCTTCAGGATATTTTTGTTTGCTTACCTCTATAGCAAATTTTCCTGGAAATAAGAAATAAACCAAATTGCAAAATAAGAATGTCGAAAGCGATAGGAAAACAAAGAAATACATAAATTTAACAGTCGAACTTACTACTAAATTCCTGTACTGATTCGGTAGTGATTGTTACGAAAATATATTAAACGCGTTTTCTATCTTTTGTGAAATTCGCTAAATTATAAGTCGAATTTGGCCATTTTTATCACTTCAGATTTTAATTTGTATGACTAAATGAAACCTATAAATATCATGATATGACCTCAACGATATTTCTTGCACAAAAGCATTTTGTAGTCACCATTTGGCTAATTAGCAGCCGCAAAGTAGTGGCGAACTTGTGGGCGGATTTATTAATCGTCCTGTCATCATGACGATACAATAATGATGAGATCAATTCAGAGAATGATTCGAAGAAATTGTAATAGTGTTCGGAGTATCGCATTAGAACGATAATATGTATATTTACCTAGAATTATTTGGAAGACAGAAATGCATCAATAATGGTGCTTTAAAACGTCTGATTCTTTCAATGTATACTTTATAAAGCATGAATTGCGAAAAATAGGAATCACATTGTTTAGAAAGCCCAAGAATTGCGTAATAGCATGTCAATTGAACGTGCATTTCCCGTATATGAAGTATTTATATGAATCATGTAAGTATACATTAAATAAAAGCTTAATATATTTCTATATAAAGCGTTACTATATATATAATGTGTTTTATGCATAATATAAACACACTTAAATGGCTTGTTGAGAAAATATTTAAAAATCGACTGTGAGTAATTGGATCATGCAAGTTGAAAAAAAAATGAATATCATCGTATACAGTAACATATCTACAAATTTCTATAAATTTTTTTTTCAATTATATGTATTCGCTTTTATAGCAAGAGATAAGAACATTGAACTTGTATAATGACGATTACACTTTATCATGCAATATAACTGCTTTTATAGACTATTTGCGTTGCGGCGTATAGCAAGTAACTGTATGTGTGTGTAACAATTTTATTTAAATAATTTAATAAACTGTATTTAAGAGAAATAATAATTTTAAAAATTGGATGTATTTATTTTGTTTAAATAAAAATGCAAGTCATCTCTCTCTCTCTCTCTCTCTCTATTTATTTTTGCTTCGCCTTCAATATCCTTCAGGATACTGTTACTAGTGCAAATTACATTTAGTCTGAAATATCGCGTGTATTCTTAAATATATGAGTAATAGTAATTTTTGAATCATATCTATGTTTACACATAAAATTGCGGATGGATATTTCCAGATTAAGAGCGAAAGTGAACTCTTTATCAGACTTTATCTTATCGAATGCAATATATCCTTCAAACGCAAGTTAAATATAATATATGATAATTCTCAAAAATATGGGCGTGATAATTTTTGGGCAATATCTGTCTTTGCATATAAAATTGTGAACTCATACTTCCAGATTTTCGCCCGTTTTCAATGGTACATCATATAGTCTATCTTTGTCAGCATTACTACACAAGATACGAGTTCTTTAAAATATGTTCCGGGCAATTTCTGATTGCTTATAGTCCGGTATTCATAGACGGATCTTGTATATAAAATCGTCTTAAGTTCATCTGCAGATACTCCGTAGTCTGAAAACGAATCGTACAACGTTTGAATAAACTTGAGACAATATTAAATATAATATTTGACTACAAATACCAACCATATTTCTCTAGTAAGTTTCTCCTAGAGATCGAAGTGAGCAAGTCGAGCTATGGTCGCAATGGTCACAACGACAAAGTGGGGATGTTGAATTGGTAGGGAGGAATAGAGAAGTTTAACAGGCGCTGCAGCCGGTTCTGGACATTGTTGACTGTAACAACGCAATAAATGCCATTTCTGCATCTGTGAATTCGTAGAATTCGGCGAATTGTAAGTAGAACTTGTCTATTCTTATCCCTTCAGATTTAATTCTTACCCCTTGATTGGATAAATAAAGATTGTAAGTGATACCATAATAATACATTGAATATCTTAAATAAAAGTGTTTTGTAATCATCACTTGGTTGTGTTACCGGCCGGTAAATTAGTGGCCCTTGTGGAAGTCGACTAATTAATAGTTCTGTCACAATAATGAAGTAAAAGAATAAAAGAAATGAGATCAATTCGGAGTAATCACGGCATTGGAAGTATCGCATTAAGGTTATATATATTAGTTGAGAATGTGTATTAGAAGAGAGAAACGCCTCATTGTCAATAATGATGTCTTTTATCAATAAATAGGATCGAATAAATAGAAATCACATCATGTAGTGTAGAAAGTCCAAGAACTGCGTAATGTCATGTTAATTAAATGTACATTTTCTCTATGCGTATTTTAAATAGAATGCTAACATTTTTATACAGATTTCATATTACTGTGCACAATATATTTTATGTATAAGAATTGCGATAATTAAATGGTTTGCTGAGAAAATCTTGAAAAATATCTTGCAAGAAATTGAGTCGTGTAAGGCTAAAAATGGCAAGTGAACGAATATTATAGATGAATAGCATTGTAAGTGACAACTTCATTTTTAATGAATAATACATGATTTTATAACTGTACTTCAACTTTTGTCAAACTGTTTTAAATTTTGATGACATTTGCAACAGATTTAATGTAACGTAAATTTTGGCTTAACTTAAAGATGATATCGGTTAAAGATTAGTTCGTCTCATCAAGCAAAATTTCTTCATTAAGACCAAATAATGTTGAAGAGTATTAGTTGTTGAAATATCTTTTGTTACTAGAATTACGATAACAATGAAGAGAATCGAAGATTATAACGATTGTTTCTTCTTTCAGCAACATGCCTTCTTATAAGCTGACTTACTTCCATCTTACGGGATTGGCCGAGCCCATTCGCTTGCTGTTCAGTTATGCTGGTATCGACTTTGTGGATGAACGTATCGACAAGAATGATTGGCCAAAACTTAAGCCGAGTATGTGTCCGATTAATATTAACATGCCCTTATTAACATTCACTGATCGCTTAAACTGGCTCAAAACTATTCTTATATACGATTAGTTGGGATAGATTCAACACAAAAATATAATTTTCATATCCTTATGAATCGCCGACTGATCTTGCTTAAGCATTCCTTAAACATTGTGTCATCTTTCAGCTATGCCATTTGGGAAAGTACCTGTGCTCGAGGTCGATGGAAAGAGAATCCATCAGTCTGTAGCTATCGGCCGTTACGTGGCGAAACAATGTGGTCTTGCTGGCAAGAACGATTTGGAGTCTCTGGAAATCGACTCAACCGTCGATACCATACAAGAGTTATTAGAACGTTAGTAGATATTATTTCATTTATTTTATTTTTATCCGAATTTTTTTGTTTACCAGAAGCAGAAGTTTATATTTTGAAACTCGATTTCACTATTTTAAATGTGTGTTCAGATCTCAATAATGTGCAAACGGACATTCACAAATGATAGTAAATTCAATTCACCGAAACGCTTGATTCGGATTGTTCGAATCTACTACATTTATCTTTCTTTTCTTGCTTATACTAAATATCATGGCTTTTCAGATATTTATGTGAACTACGTACGGGCTAAGGAACAGAAACTCGAGATTGTCGATGAGACGGTGTCGTATTACTTGGGACGTTTGGACGCTCAAGTAAAGAGGAACGGTGGTCACTTCGTCGGCGGTGCTCTGACGTGGGCTGATCTCACTTTCGTCGGTGTCTTGGATTATTTAAATTTCCTGACGAAAGAGAATGTCGTTGAGAAGTATGAGAACCTGAAACAACTCCGAAAGAAAGTCGAGGAGATACCGGCCATCAAGAGCTGGATCGAGAAGCGTCCGCCGACTTTGTACGAAAATTATATATAAAAATTCGTTATATGTGATAATTTCTTACAGTGATAACCGACCTTTCGATACAGTTTTTCGTTAGTGTGTTGCATTTGAGTAAAGTATCGACTTTTCTTTCTTCCAAGATGCTTACATTTACATACGACAGGCGCGTATGATGAATTTTAGATTACACTGAAGATACAAATGTATATACTTTAACACTTGTTGAAAATTGATTGTTACTGATATTGTCATACGACAATAAAAATACTGTGAGATTTTTAATTACATCTTGAAAAACAAACTATTTTTTCATTATGTAATTTTGTACTTCAATAAATCGCTACTTTTACTATTTTCTTAGTGATTTCTTTCGCATTCGCCAAACCTACTTTTCCATTCGTTCAATTTGTTATGATCTATCTACATTCCTGTATTCCCACCATCGTCATTATTTTTACCTTATTTTTCCTTATTTTATAAAATCCTTTTGTATTTAAGTTAAAGTAAATATGCTGTACGCTATTTTAGCTGTACGCTGCATTCCCAGAAATCATATCGACAGCAGCCTAATTAAGAATTTAGCAGAGTCAAGAGGTCGATTACCTAGATTTGCAAATAAATATCTGTCTTCAAAGCGCTATTGATACAGAAGAGGCGTGTGCAGTAAATAAAATACATAAGTGCCGAGTAATTAATTGACGATAACGCAGATAACGCATTATCTGCTTTTATACACAGATAGCATTGAAGATGCCTCTTTAATCATATCGTGATGTGGCTTTTGCAGTTGCTAGGTTGCTATATTACTGTAGAGTGTAACTATATTGCCACCGAAGGTCGCGCAAGTTAATTCCAATTGAGGGAGCCTATGACTATTCACTGAGTAACTGTAAACGTTTACTGTAGAGTTTTCTATGTATTACGCCGTAATGTGACAATTACACTTCAATATCATGGTCTTTCTAGAAAACAAACAAAATTTCGATAAAATATTAACATTGATTAATAGTTTTTTCCCAAGAATATTCTTGCGATATAATGAATGTTTGAAGAAAATTCTCCACTATATATCCTTCAACTAATTTATGTATAGTATGTGTAAGCGTGTCTTAAAAATTTGTTACGCCTATACTTTATGTAGATAAAGATAATAATATAAAATATTTAAATAAAGATTTAATATGTAAATAACGATCGACTGATATTAAAAGATAGATATACTAAAAAGCTCGATAATTCAAATTCAAAAAGAGAATTAAGTTAATAAATTCTTTGTATTTTTTTTTTCATTGACGTCAATATATTGACGTATTTGAAAAGTACTTTTCAAATATTAAAACTGTGTACTTTTAATTTATAATTAAATTTTTAATCATTTTCTTAATATTGTTGCAACTATTTCGCTATTAATGCTCTGCTATATTTAATCAACTTTTATCATTATTCATCATATCTTTCTTTCGACTTTTTATGCGCGTGAAACTTGCAAGTCATTTAGAAGAAATAACAAGCTTATTAATCGATAATACGCTATTAATAGCGTGCAGAGAAAATATGAAACAGTTTACGTAATGATGCGCATTACATGTTGCAGATAATGTCAGTACAGAACCGTATATACCTTATTATTTACAATAAGCTTGGATGATACAATTGCTGATTTGAAAGTACAGCAAGTATTTATAAAAAACATATGGCCAGCGATTGCAGAATTACGTTTATAGCTTTATCCCTGGCAAAACATGACATTATTTCATTATTAATTGTATGTCTAAATATTTTAGAAAATTTTTTATTTAAAAGAGTACATACAAATTATTATATTATCATGTTATATAAATTATATTACATTATTATATAATATTATCAATTAATATAATCGATCTCGACTTCTATAATTTTGTAATATATGTTTGTTACGATTCAACTCTAGATAGTATAACGTTATCGCGTGATAGCAGACAATTATTTTGATCACTTTATTTTATCACTGTTTCGTGATTAACATCACGATAAAAAAATACGAGACGTGCAACTTTTTTTCCATGTTAATTAATGGCAATTAGTTAATGGCAATGACTAATTTTTTTTATCGTTTGTAATAAATTGTTTGTTAAAGAAAGAAGCTAAGAACAAAAAAAAATTCTTGTTATACTTTAATATATTTACCGTAAAAAGAATAAGCAGCAAAATATTGAAAATATTAAGTGCGAGAAATTCTGTTTATTGTTGTAACGATAGGCCTTGATGTAATTTCACGCTTCACTGTTCCGTGATTAGCATCTGGATCTCAGACAAAGAGAGAGAGAGAGAGAGAGAGACAGAGAGAGAGACAGAGAAAGAGAGAGAGAGAGAGAGAAAATAAGGAGGTTCTCTTTCTGGGAAAATAAAAGCATGCATCTTTTTTCCCATTGGTGTTACATGCAACCTCTGTGCGTGCACTCTGAAAGATTCATTCTGTGCCTTGTATTGTACGTGTGTAAAACCAGTATTTCTCCATAATCGTTCGTGGCAAGAGGACGTATGTCCCCAAGGACGTGTGCCTACAACGTAGTTACGTTTCAAACAAACGCTCAGTCGTTCTCGATCCGTGAACAACTCCGCATCGGTTACTTGAGCTTTTACGAGATATCAGATTACAGACTGCAAGGTAATGAAGAATTATATCTTCTCCATTTCGTAATCTGCTTCTAAAATAAATACACGAAATAGATACAAATTAATACTTTTGAAAATTATTTATTTTTAAATAAATGCCACTTTTATAAGGATACTAATGCAATTACATAATCAAATGTCAAATACTAATTTTCTATTTCTAATTTTTACAGTTAATGATCAATAACTGTCTGAAGAAGATCTAAAAGTAAAGATTGAAGCTATTATCGATATATTTAGTATTTACCGCGAGTATTTTCAATAATATACTGTATGTACACATGTCATGCAGATGTTTGCGTTTAACGCTAGCATTAGTATCCTCGCTTAGATATTTCTAAAAAAACGAGCTAAATCTTTTTATATTAATTTTTATATTAATCTTTACAATTTTCAGAAGATGCCGACGTACAAGCTAACGTATTTTGATGTTACCGGCCTTGGAGAGTCACTTAGGTTCCTGTTAAGTCATAGTGGCGTTAAATTCGAGGATGTTAGACTCAAGTTCGATGATTGGCCGAAGTATAAACCAAGTATGCTTATGTCATACGTTATTATTTTTAAATTATGAAACAATCGTAATTTCAATTGCTTTTCCATCGAAGTAACGAATAGTATTGTACAATTTATTTTGCGATTTTTGCAGCTATAACCGGTTTATTTAACGATCATTTAATCGCGTTTTCATCATACACGCGCACATAAAACAAATATTGTTTGCAATAATCTAACAAAATTTTTACAAATTATAGACATGCCCATGGGACAAATGCCGGTCCTGGAAATCGACGGTAAGCAGTATCATCAGTCCAGGGCGATCGGTCGCTTCCTCGCGAAGAAAAACAATTTATACGGATCCGATGATTTCGAGGCCATGGAAATCGATGCCGCTGTTGATTCTATGGACGATATAAGACAAGGTAAGACTGTTGATAATGAGCAAACGCGAGAGGATATGACAAATCAATTATATAATCATCAAAACAACATAATTGTGACTTCACGAATCTTCCGCGCCGACGGGATTAATTATAACATGACGCATGCACGTTGCGCATATATGCAAATCGAGTGGGGATTTAATGTTACTGTTGCAAGGTACTTTGTACAGAGCAGCTATTTAAAGTTAATAAGCTATGTATTTCCTGAACAATTGTCGCGCGCTGTATCATTATCGCTCTTCTCGCGACGTTTCACAACGGAAGCTCTGTATCTCTGTTCGCGACGACAAGAATCGTAAGGCAAATTTATTTTTGCAGCTCTGTCCCTTTATTATTGGCAACAAGATCCCGCCCTCAAAGAGAAACTCAAGGAGACCGCCTTCGAAAAGTGGCCCTACTATCTCGACAAATTTGAGGAACAAGTTAAAAAGAACGGCGGATACTTCGTGAATGGCAAGGTAATAATTTTTAATCAAGTTCCAAGCTACTGATCCTTGTCTCGTTAATTTTGTCTTTGTAAAGAGACAAAAATATATTTCTGTTATATTATTTTAGCTGTCGTGGGCAGATTTCCTGTGGGCTGGATATTGTGAGTACCTGAGCTTCATCCTGGGCGGAGACCCGAACAAGGATCATCCCGAATTGAAGAAGCTAGTGGACAAAGTTCGCGCTTTGCCCAACGTTAAAGCTTACATCGAGAAGCGACCCAAGACTCAATTGTAAATAAAACGAAATTTGTAATTTTATATGTACTCTTCCTTTAATTTGTTACGCGTCAATGTCGTTCTTTAAGAACTATTCTCTTTCGAAATGTTTTGTAAAAGAATAGCGTGCTAATACTGCTAATGCGTTGCTTCCGAATAGCTTCAGGCATGAATTTCTCTGTACTTTAACACCAATTAATATTACGTAATTATTACGTAACAAATCTAAAAAGGAAATAAAATCTTTTGCATTCAGTAAAAGTGTGTGCATTTGTTTTTTATTCTCTTCTCACTTATATATGTTTGAAAACGTTCTATATAATTATCAAGCGATTTCGTATATAATTATTATTGATGATATACATCTTTAATAATACCGGATATCGAGTTATAATTAGCACAAAATTATCTTGATTTTTTTATTACTATTGCAAATAACAGTTTTTTTATACTGCGTAAAAATATTCTTTTTATATACGACTTTTGAATGATATATATTTTATTCTTTCTTTCTTTATTATATAATCATATAAAATATATATTAATAGTATTATTACTATTAATATACATTTCATATGATTATAATAAATATTATTATATTATTAAAAATATTACTGTATAATTAATTTTATGCTGTGTTTTAATTGAATCCACGGCAATCAGCATACTTTGACAGGTAATTAATCTAATTCTGTGGTTCTACTTTGTTTTACAAAAAAATATTCTCAATAGTTTTTAATATTTATATGCAAATTAATAACAGATTCATATATTAATACGAGAAATCTCGAAATTGTTATGCTATTATATATGTATGCTTTTACATATTTTGAAAAGTATTAGTGTTATGTTAAGGAAAGGTAAGAATAAAATGAAAGGTAAGAATGATAATTTGATTTTGCAACTCATGTTGTCTTTTATGTTTTAAAGGAAAAAAAATTTAAATCTCTCCTCCTGAGATACTTTTAATATAGCAATAGAAAGGACTTACTCCTATCTAAATGGATCCCGTCTTTCGCAAATATTTTCTTCTGTTTTTATCTTTTCAAGTAATTGTAAGTTTTTTTCTCTCAAAATATCGCACTAATCACTATTTCTATAATAAAACATATTGCTGTTTAATAAAATTTGCCTTTTTTAATAAATAAATGTCTATTTTGAGTTGAGTTTCTCAGTGATTTTTGATCCAGCACACTACCGCTAATCATAAAACTTATCAAGTGTGTGTGTGTGTGTGTGTGTGTGTGTGTGTATCGTTGTCTAAATAAAATTTTTTCAAGAAGACAGTTTTTTTAAATTCATTAAAAATTATATTTTGCTTATAGTGTTGATTTAATTAAAGAAAAAAATAAGAATAAAGTTATTGATTTATTTTGTAAAAATGACTTATGTTTCTTTAAAAAAAATAAGATTTAGAAAGTACTTAAATTTAAATTATTTTATATAACAATTTTATGTGAGAAATTGCAAGTAATTTGCTCATCTAATTGCCAGAATTATGAACAACGTGAATTCAGAAATTACTTATTAAGTGCGCAATTGTGAATTTGTTCATTATTATATAAATTAGTCCATTATTATACTATAAATTAATCCATTATTATATTAAGTATTTAGTTAATTATTATATACAAGCGACGGCTAAAACTTTTTATATTATTCAAAGGTATAATCTTGATAACATAGGTCAAGATGAAGACCGTATCGTTGCTCCGTTTAATGTATTATTTATCAGATATAATTTTGTGTGTGTAAATCCAGTTCTACATAATCGCCAATATTTCTATACATATGTCCCTAAGAACGTACATATGTAGTTACGTTCTAACAAAACGCTCAGTCGTTCTCGATCCGTGAACAACTCCGCATCGATGGCTTCGATTTTTACGAGAGACCAGATTACAGAGGTAATGAGGAATTATATCTTCTCAATTTTGTAACCTAATTTTGGAATAAATACACGAAATGGGTGCAAATTAATACTTTCGAAAATTATTTATTTTTAAATAAATGCAAAAGTGGCTGTCATACTAATGCACTTACGTAATCAAATGTCAAATATTAAATTTGATTATATCTCTAATTTTCTATTTGTAATCTTCACAGTTAATGCTTAATGATTGATTAAAAAAGATCTAAAAGTAAAGATTAAAGCTAATATCGATATATATTTATTGCAAGTATTTTAAATAATATACTGTAGAAAAAGTGCGAGTATATTGTGAGATAGAGGGGCAATATGAATCGTCACGATATCTAGCTTATTAAGTGTTACACTCAGCGAACACCAGTGGAATTACTAGCTGCTGGATCCCTAATCTTAACGTACAAAACTGCAGCGTAGTACAAGGTGTCATAGAATTAATATGTTAAATTGAAGATTTGATGTGTGTCGCTTACTGCGTAAGATTTAAAAATCCTTTCCTCTAAAGTTAAAGTACATAAAATAATTTCAGAAATTCAGATCTTCTTTACCTACTCTAAGGCTAATAGATCGTCTAAACCTGTCAACTCGTGACATTGGCTTTATACAAAAGTTCTACAGTTTGTTGTTACAAAATAAAAACACTATGGAACGTGGATTACATGAATAAGAAATAACAGAGTCCTCATCAGACTCAGCCTTAGACACCTAATATAAAAGATTAGTGTGAAAAAAGATTAATGTGAATATATATATACGTGCGATATTAGTACAGAAGAATACCAGAATATATCGATTATTTTGTTCGCTGAGGGGTACATTAGTGCGTAATACTTGAACTTTAGAAACGGTTTTTTAAATCTGTAAAGGCAATAAAAAGATAAGTTTGTTTTACAAAAATCGTGTTTAATCGGTAAGAGACAAACAACTTTGGAATCTTTAATAGTTTTCAAGTCATTTCAAAAAAAGATTAGCATATCCCACAATACTAACGCTTCCACTATACATGTTATGTTGCACTATACATGTTGCGTTATGGTGTTTGCATTTAGCATTAATATCTTTGTTTAGATTTTTCTAAAAACAAATCAAACATTTACCTATATCTATTTTTATATTTATATTTATAATTTTTTCAGAACATGCCTACGTACAAGCTAACATATTTCAATGCTACCGGCCTTGGGGAGTCTATTAGGTACTTGTTAAGTTATTATGGCATCAAATTCGAAGATGTCAGAGTAGACTTCAATGATTGGGCGACTTATAAACCAAGTATGCTATTACATATATATATTTTTTGAAATGATAAAACGATCATAATTTTAATTGCTTTTCCATCTAAGTAACGATTAGTATTGTAAAATTTACTTTATAATTTTCGTGGCTTATATAATCGGTTTATTCAACGATCATTTAATTGCATTTCTATATCATAAACATGAAACAGATATTGTTCGTAATAAATCTAATGGCACTTTTACAAATTACAGACATGCCCATGGGACAAATGCCGGTCCTGGAAATCGACGGTAAGCAATATCATCAGTCCAGGGCGATCGGTCGCTTCCTTGCAAAAAAGGGCAATTTATATGGATCCGATGATTACGAGGCCATGGAGATCGATGCCGCTGTTGATTCTATGGACGATTGTAGATTACGTAAGAATTTTGATATCATCAGCAAACGCGAGAGGATAACAGATTAATTACATAATCATCAAAACAACATAATTGCAATGTGACAATTGCAAATCGAGTAGGGATTTAATATTACTGTTGCAAGGTACTCTGCACAAAGCAGCTATTTAAAGTCAACAAGCTGCGTATTTCCTGAACGATTGTCGCGCGCTGCATCATTATCGCTCTTTTCGCGACGTTTCACAACGGAAGCTCTGTATCTCTGTTTGCGACGACAAGAATCGTAAGGCAAATTTATTTTTGTAGCTCTGACCCATTATTATTGGGAACAAGATCCCGACTTCAAGGAGAAACTTAAGGAGACCGCCTTCGAAAAATGGTCTTTGTTTCTCGACAAATTCGAGGATCAAGTTAAAAAGAACGGCGGATATTTCGTGAATGGCAAGGTAATAATTTTTAATCAAGTCCCAAGCTACTGATCCTTGTCTCGTTAATTTTGTCTTTGTAAAAAGACAAAAATATATTTCTGTTTTATTATTTTAGCTGTCGTGGGCAGATTTCGTGTGGACTGGATATTGTGACTATCTGAGTTTCATCCTGGGCGGGGATCCGAACAAAGATCATCCCGCATTGAAGAAGCTAGTGGACAAAGTTCGCGCTTTACCTAAGATTAAAGCTTACATCGAGAAGCGACCCAAGACTGAATTGTAAATAAAACAAAATTTGTGATTTTATACTCTTCCTTTGATTTGTCGTTCTTAATTAATAACTATTTTTTTTCGAAATGTTTTCTGAAAAAATAGAATGCTATAATGCGTTATTTCCGAATAGCTTCAGCCAATTTCACTGCGCTTTCACAACAACTAATATTATTACGTAACAAATATAGAAAGGAAATAAAATCTTTTGCATTCAGTAAAAGTGTGTGTTTATCGCTTGTTTTTAAATTCATCTTATCTGTTTAAAAATGTTCCATATATTTATCGAGAGATTTCGTATATCTTCATTGATAACGTACATCTTCAATAATACCGGATATCGTGTTATATATCACAAAATTATCTTAATTTTTTAAATTACTATCGCAAATTATAATTTTTTTTATACTAAATTTAAAAATATTTTGTTTTTAATACAAAGCTTATAAAGGTTACATATTTTATTCTTTCCTTATTTAATATAATCATATAAATATATCTCAATAGCAAACAATTTTTTTATATTATTAAAAATGTTACTGTATAGTTAATTTTATGCAATGTTTTAATTGAATCGGCGATTCATTTTAGTGTAAAGAAATAGGATAAAAGCCCAAATTACTAACAATGTCTATATTATGTATTGTCCATCGAAGTTTAAATGCTTTAGGATATAAAAATTACATCTTGTGTTATTTTATTAAATTGTAATAGAATTCTTAACAAGTCTAATTATTGTTGCAATAACTAATTAAAAATAAAAGCTAATCTACTAATTAGAAGGAAAATTTAAAATTCGAAAAACTAATTTTTCTTCCGGGCCATGTTTTATTATTATTATTATATTAGAGTTAGACAGAAAATAGCTACAAAGATGACAGATCATAGACGAAATTTGAACAATAAAAGTTATTGAAATGTATCGAAATTGAGCAAAAAAATATAGAATAAGTTATTAATTTTATATTATAATTAATTAATAGTAATTCATTTCTTTGTGCTTTCCCTAATACTACCGACAGTATTACAGAACGGACATCAATCAAATTAATTATAGTCATATTTTGGCAATTAGCAGATATAACTTCTGGTAATACTAGGGTTTTTCTTTCAAAACATCGCAATCGTAATCTTATTCGTAATCTTATCATTTCTAATATTAGAACGCATTCGTTTAATAAAGTTTTGCCCCTCTTAATAAACACAGATCCATTTTGATTTGAGTTTCTCAGTTCTCGTCAGTAATTTATAGCAAACACACTTTGGTCCAGTACACTATCGTAACATTGCTTATCAAGTGCAGTATTGTTGCCCAAATAAAACTTTTTCGAGAAGACAGTTTTTTTTTACTTATTTATACTTATAATGTTACGTAGTGTATCGCAATTTTGTTTTCGTGGACGTTGGGAACTGTGAATTGTGTTAGGATATATCGATGTAACTCGGCACATACAGTATCCTCTCTCGAGTACACACATGTATTAGATATTAGAATCACGTGATACTGCGATGTCACAAACAAGGAGCTTGAGGAAGGAGTCAGTCGCTTACGAGACCTTCGCGCTGTACGAATCGCTCAGAATAAAGTTTTGTTACTTTTGCATAACTCCGTGAATTCACTCATCCCACACGTAATCCTGTCAAATTGGAATATTATTTTGCGGGCATTCTGATACATATCGAAGTCAGTAAAATAATGATTATCGCTTTGAATATACATATGTAGAATAAATACATAAATTCATTGATATTTGTATTTAGCTTACAGTGCTGATATAATTAAGAAAAAATATGGATAAAGATAAAAATAATCTTTTAATGGTTAATGTTGCAAAATGACTTTTGCTTTTCTTAAAATATTGGATTTAGAAGGTATTTTTTAGATTATTTTATATAACAATTTCATGTTAAAAACTGCAAATAATTTGTTTATCGAATTGATAGAATTATGAACAACGCGATTAAGAAATTATCATTAAGTGCAATTGAGTTTGTTCATTATTATATTAATTGAGTATTTAGTTATTTACTATATTAAATATTTTCAAAGTTTGTAATAGGAAAAATATTTTAACACGCCAAAGTATCATCAGTTATATTTAAATAAAATGCAATAAACTAAATGCTTAATATATCAATAATATATGGCCTTTCATTTTATGTAAAAAATTGAAAAACGCGATAAAAAATCAGTTTATCATTACTGTGGTATCTCGTGCTCGTAAGGTGCTGCCACACACCTTCGTCACGAAAGGCGAGCGAAGAATGTTATGTACGTCAGCAGATAATACGAGCAGTCGTGCTCGGGCCGGCGATCTATCGGTTCGAGAGGATAATAAACTACACGACTATAGGTATATATGTGTGCGTGTGTACGGTGTCTCAACTCAGTTAATCCCTTTTCCAAGTCACCGCAATTACAATGACAGATTCTAGGTGTGATAATTGACAATGTGTCACTGTTGATTAGTATCATGCAAAATGACTTATATAAATTGAAACGCACTTGTGGAGTTCATAATTCAAACAGAAAAAGTATGCATTTTTTCTTTTTTTCAAACTCCATATGTGCACTTCACATTTCCAACTAAAGATAATTTTGTATACTTTGCACACCTGATAATATATCTATATCTAATTTAGTTTTTACCCGTAAAACACTTTTAATAAAAGGACGCTTGTTTGTCCCGAGCAGTTAGATAAAGAGTATCGTTTTAGCTGTTAGCACGCAATATTCGTATTCGAGTTGTGAATAATTCTACATCTACTAGAAAGTTGATTTTTATAAGAGATCGGATTGTAGACTGCAAAGTAATATTATAATTATAAATTTCTCGTAACTTGTTTTTTAATTAACGAATTGATATGCTTATAAATTGACATCCTTCAAAAAATTATTATAAAATATTATTATTATAAAATTATTATAAAATAAATGCGAAATATTCTTAGACTAAGTAAGGATATAATGGTCTCTATATTCTTATTTCCTAAATCAAGCGAATCCTTATTTTCTAAATTTATTTTTATACTACTTCCAGAACATGTCGACGTACAAGTTAACGTACTTTAATATTGGGTGCGTTGGAGAGCCAACTAGATACTTGTTAAGTTATTGTGACATCAAATTCGATGATGTTAGACTCAGCTTGGAAGAGTGGCCGAAGCATAAACCAAGTATGTTATTTCTATGCTGTAATTTTGAGAGTATGAAATAATCGATTGCAAAATCAATCATTTAAATATTGATTTATACCATAAAATTTATTCTGTGATTCTCTCATTTATCGTCAAGTTCACTGCTCTCTCATTTAATTATATTTCCTTTATAAATATATTTGTAAAATTAAATATTTTTCAGTAATAATATAATGGCAAACATAAATCATTTTCGTTTTTACGAATCGTAGACATGCCCATGGGACAATTGCCGATTCTGGAGATAGATGGTAAGACATACTATCAGTCCAGAGCTATCGCCCGTTTTATCGCTAAGAGAAGTAATTTATATGGGTCCGATGAATTCGAGGCTATGGAGATTGATGCCATAGTCGATTCTATCGAGGATATAAGACAAGGTAAAAATGCCAATGGGGTCAGCGAACGCGATCGTGAATAATAGGTCAGTGTTCTAGAGAAACCGATTGATATTATGTAATTGAAAAGGGGTACAGAAGTTTTCAATATCTCTACGCTAACGGGAGATCTGATTAATGAATATGATGAAATGCACGTTATTGTGTATTATGTTATAATTCGAGTAAAGGATTTTAATGTTACGTAAAAAGGTATTATATCATAAAATAAAAAAGCGGAAACTATTTAGAATCAACAAACCGTGAACACTTCCTGAACAATTGTCGCACACTGTATCACTATATATTGCTCTTCTTGCAGTGATGCAATGTGACTCTCTATCTCTGTGCAACTCAAACGCTTCAACTCAGATTTATTTTTGTAGCTTTGGGTGCTTACTACTGGGAACAGAATCCCGCTTTCAAAGCAAAACTCAAAGAGACCGCCTACGAAAAATTGCCTTTCTATCTCGACAAGTTCGAGGCTCACGTTAAGAATAACGGCGGACACTTCGTCAATGGCAAGGTGATGATTATCGATTGTGTGTTAAACTATCGAGATACCTGTCTTGTTAATTTAATACGAAAATACACTTCTGTTATTTCAGTTGTCGTGGCCTGATTTCATGTGGGCTGCGTATTCGGAACGTCTAAGTTTTATCCTGACCAGGGATGTGAACCAAGATCATCCGGAATTGAAGAAGTTAGTGGAGAAGATTCGCGCCCTGCCCAACATTAAAGCTTACATCGAGATGCGACCTAAAATTTAATACATAGCATTTTTTTATATTTATTACGTGTCGATATGCGTTCTTTGCTCAATTTTTTAGACCAAAATGCTTCATTAAAATAAAGTTTGTAAAATGATAATGTGCACGCATTCATTATATTATCTATTTCAAAACGGATTGTTATGTTTTTATTTAGCAATTAAATTATATGCATATATATTGTACAGCTGTCGTTTTATGAATTCACTATATATATATATATATATATAGATGTATTGTCTGTAAAATAAAGCTAGAAACGTTAACTATCATCGTAATAATATACATATAAAAATGAATGCTGTAATTAATTCAGAGTTGCGCATATACGCACAATAAGTACATCGACAATATCAATAATATATATAAATATCGTAACTACCTTTTAAATATTTTAAGGAGACATTCCTCAATGCAATTTTATTAATGTATGCCTTGAAAGATATTGCAATTCTGATCTGAATAATTTTCTATTTCAAATTTTTAAATATTTTCTACTCTAACTGATAAACAGCCAAACTTTTTAGAAGAAAATTATTGTACAAATTGCTCTACTTCTGAAAAAATTATGGTTTTGCAGTCATATACTTTTCATCGATATAAACATCGAAATAATTTTGCGCAAGTTGGCGTTCTTCCAGCATCGCACGAGGTAAAGAAATAAATTAATTAAGCGGACACTTTATGTCTTGTATTATACAAGTCTTTGATCGCGATTAATATCAAAACCGGTGTGCAATCTGGTTTTATCACAAAATATATAAATATTCACGACACACATAGAAGAGAAAACAAGAAGCTAGCTTGCGCGTTGACATGCCGATCTTGACAGAACGTTCCCCTTGATCTCATATATCTTATTATTAACGAGAATATTATAATAACTATCGCTATAATGTTCATTATACATTTTTAGGAACGCTGATATTGAATCTGCAAATTCTTCTCGCTTCTGCAGAGAAGACTAGCGTTATTAAACAGTCATGCTATAGATAGGGAAATATAATGTTCACACACATACGTACTTTAGATATCAAACATCCATGCTTCATATCCTGTGTCGACAATTATAATTTCCGGCTTGACTGTTTGCGTGAAGCAACACACGTAAGCGTTCAGTCCCCAAACCACAAGCGATGATTTTAATATCGTTTATTTACATTATCGGTATGTTTCCATCTATTTCGCACCTTTTTTATGCGATCGAAATGATCGAATTAGTTCCTTTCTCTTCCTTAGAAAATCATTCTTTGCAAAACTCTCACTTTCTCGACAAATGTGTCCCACGCTAATTCATCCCGATGTACCGTCCAGGACACTAAATCCATGTTGGTCTTGATTACGGAAAAAAACTCCTCGGATTAGAAGTTTGTACAAACCTGATGCGGTTCCCACAACCAAAGAGTTCCGATTTGTGCTCGGTGTTCTAATTCGAGAGGCGGCGTTCTCCCGCGATGAATGGACGTCAGGTGACGAGTTCGAAGTTTAACTCGCCCATGTAGCGCGCCAACTCCGTTCCGGTGAACTCGGTCTCGTCGAGGTCCTGAAGGCTGGAGTTGCTGATCGTATTGGCACTCTCGATGCTCGGGTGACTCTGAAATCGCGGCGGCATCGCAATGACGTTTTCCGGTTTCGATGCCGAGCTGGTCGATGAATTCTTCCGATGCTGCGCGAAGAATCCCTTTGTGCCGAGCCCCAATCTCTCCGTGAGGATTCCTGCTAGAAATACCAAAGTATTAGAAATATCTTTCCTATTCTGTCGAATAAAAGTTAATGCGCAGAGCAAAAGTTGCAGAGCAAAAGTATCTGTTTGTTTGTTTGTTTTGAAACCGCAAATGCATTTCGTATAAATATAATTTTTGCTTCTTACTTTGAAATAAATTTGCTTTTTAATAATAAACTATGATATTGATTGTAGAAAACATATGTATGTATAAAAATTATAATATATTTTTCTTGTGCATGACTATAATTTTTCGTAACATTTTTTACAGTGAGTGTGGAACGGGCTAAGTAAGAGCCAAGCACTGTTGACGGTGCACAAAGATTAACACTTTTTTTTACAGTTTTGTCCTTACGGATACCTATAGACACTTTAACTATGAAGCAATAAGAGTCTGTTTCGAAACGCTGCTAATTTTATTAATAAACAATAAGCATGCACTTACTGTTTTAAAGAAAACATTTTTACGCGCATTTGAAGTTCTTAATATATATTCACTATTCACCATTCTTCAAGGCATTTCGATAAGACAAAATAAAAGTGTTTAAATCATTATTTGTATCTTCGTGAGATAATATTTTATATACATAACTATGTTGCATTGTGCGGACATGTTTCTCTATGTGAGAGAATCTCTCAATTAATTCGGCAAATTTAAAGAACTCTGCGTCATTGAATCAGCCATCATTGATTAAAAAACAGCCTACGGATTAATTAATCCCGCGAAGATACAGGTGCAAATAGACGCTACCTAAAGCTTTTGGCGACCTGTGGATCCTCAGTAGGCATTCGTTCGTGTTGTTGTTGCCCTCGTTGTTCAGGCCCTGCTTGCTTAAAGATGTCATCACGGTAAGTTGGCTGCTGTCGGAATCTCTAGACACTCTTCTGGTATAATCTCGACAGCCTACGGTCTCTCTCATCGTAGCCGCGATGTTGGATCGCCCTTCTCGCTCCCTCTGTGACTTTGCGAGTCCGTTCGGCTCGCAGGAATTCGCGTTCAGTGCGATATGTGTTAATCGTTGCTGTTCGTCGCTGACGGAGATCGAAGGCGAGTGCTGAGCGTCGTCGAATCGATGCCTCATCGACCTCTGATACCGCGACAAGCTGGTGTAAGTCGGCTGTCGACGATTGCTCTTGTGAGACGAGAACTTCCTGATGCAATATTTGGGCAGCATCGACTGGAAAAAAAGATAAAGTAAAATTGCAAAAGGCTTGTGATTCTTGCAATGTTCTCATCGTAACTGACATTCTTATCGATGTTTAATGAAGAAAAAAACAAAATTAGTAGTTAAGTTAACAGAATCTGTGTTAAAGCTAAAAATATTATATTCGATCATTATGTATAAATATATTAAATATATTTAAATATAAAAAATACAAAAGGTGTTTAAAAATGTTAAAAACGTAATAAGATATAATTATATTTAATATATCGGTCATCAACTAGAAAATATTTTTTATTTTAATGTTACATAAAATTTATTCTTCTAATTTTTGCAAGTATATGATCGATCATAAATCGGCCCACGTGGGAGTCGCCAGTGGAAAATGAAGCGATTAAAAGCAATTCTCCGAAACGGCTCACCTTGAAAGCCTCTCTGAACTTGTTAGACATGATATTGTAGAGGAGCGGATTCACCGTGGTGGATAAATAGTAGAATACTCCCGACACGTACGTGAGTGTGGTATAGATTACGATCATGGTATCTTCCGGCTCATTGTCAGACGAGCTGCTTTGAGCGTACACGGCCAGCAACCTCTGAGCGTGAAACGGTGCCCAGCAGATGAAAAACCCCATCACCACCGCGACTGTAAAGACAATGTATAATCATAATAATAATCATCAGTCAGAAGCCGGTGGGGAAACGGAGTAAGACGAAAATTCACTGATCTCTCACGTACAAAATAGGAAATGAAGCGAAAAGATTTCTACGAGATAAAATTAGAGCGTACTTTGATTAGAAACATCTTAGAAACATCGTTTTCATTTTAGAGATTACGACAGCTGTAAGATATATGCGCGCCGTTAGTGTCGGTTTCCAAACTGTAAGTGATTTTTTAAAGTTAATAGGATAAGGATTCATCTATTTTCAGGGATGAGATGTGAAGAAATCCACTGTGATTCATGATTCCCGCAATGCATCGAGGGAAATACGACGAGTAACAAACGCAAGGTCATCGCGGGAGCCATTTGCCTTCATTTAGCGCTACTTCAGGTCACCTTTCGTGATTTCATTACTTCGCATCAAGAAAATGAACTTTTATTACATCGCACTAGTCACATTGCTGCGGAACGTTTGCAGTCTTCGAGAGACAATCAACCTTTGGCGATTGGAAAAGTCGAAAGCTCTCGACCCTAGATTGATATTAGCTTTCTCACTTATTGATAGAATATTACTTTTGCACGCGCATAAAAATATCAAGTTAAAAATAAAAAAATGATAAAGATTCATTTAGTTTTTAAAGATTAAAGTTCCCCGAAGAAATTTTCACTTTAGTATATATATCAGGTATAAATAAGAAGAAGAAACATTTTAAACGAAGTGACTAATAAAATTTGGGGGATACGATCTTGATGAATGGAAAGTGATTTACTTTTCCCAAGATAGGTTTAATATTTTCTCACAATTTCAGATAATTTCTACTTTCGGATTACCTAAGTTGAGTTCGGGTTCTCTGATTACACAAATATATTTTTTTATATAAGTTCTTTACTCGGTTTCTATAGCCTTCGGCGAATGATAAAGAATAAGTTAGGATTTAAACACCACTCTTTTCAAATATTCCTGAGATCTGAATCGAATGAGACTGCAGTTGCGCATGCAATTGCTCCGTGTTGCATTACAATAATAATTAAATGTAGTTAATAAGTAACCCGCTTTTATCATGCTTTTTTGTTAATCAACGTGTTTCTCTTTAACTTTTAAAGTATATTCTTATGTAAGATAAATTGAAGATTTACGAACACAATTGCGAGAAAAAAAATACAATTAAATGTTTCATTTTCTCAGCAGTGAACAGCACAACGCGAGCTATTTGCGGATGCTTTCGCTTAATTTATGTATATTCCACACATAAATTTTGTGGCCACAATCTTCTACAGTTAGACGGAGAGCGATGTAATATCTGTTTAATTTAATGTTTAAAAATTTTCGAGGAATTAAGGCTGTGAAGGAAAGATTATCAAGAAACCGTGAAGATCCTAAATGCAGAATTCAGTCGTCCATAAAGACGTTTGAGAACGCGAGTGAGATTAATGGATCCCTTTGTAACTAATGCTATAATATGATAAATGATATAGCTTTATAGCTCGTAATTAACGACGTATACCGAACGTAATGGAAGCCTAGAAATATCATAAGCAGAAGATATTTCTCTCTCTCGTTTTGTGTTGCAAGTATTACAATATATTATAATGAGATACTTTATGTGCTATTACTTTCTGTATCTGAGAAGAAAAGGCGAAGAAATCTAAATCTTGATTTTGGGAGTGTGACTCGGTAATTTCGCAGACATGGCCTTCGAGAGAAGTTTTTAAAAAAACTTTAAGAAAAAAAGCTATAGAAAGGCTAAAAAAAGGTTCAAGAAAGGGTTACGCGAAATAACTGGGATCACAAGAATTATGAATGATCGCAGGTGTGAATACACAAGGTTAAGAACGCCGCGGCGCCGTCGCAAATACTTATATTGGAATTGGTAAGGAAATGGTAAAAATGTACATAAAAAGAGTTTTGCCCTTTGTGTGTCCTCGAGCGGAACAAAGAGGATCAAGAATGTGCCGAAAAGGTGAATGAATTATGTAGAACAGAATAATATTTCAAAATCTAACATAAATTTCTGCATAGCAGTGGAAAAATTTAAAAAGTTATACCAAAAAAATATTTGCGTACTTTCGAAACTCGCAAAAATATAAACTCAAACGTAATAATTAAAAAAATCGAATTTTTGCTATTTTACGAAATTATTTTCGCGATTAGGTAAATAATTTAAGAAAACTCAAGCGTTCAAAGAAAAACCCAATTCTCTCTTCTTTTCTTATAAAATAGCTGCAATATTTTAATAGTAAGGAAAAATTAGTAACGAAAGACTCAGAAATAAATAATCGTGATTCATTAAGAAAGATTCTAATTAACAGGCAAACTTTGCTTTATTTTAAGTTGTGCCTTGCCAGAGTTTAAAAAATGTGTATAATATTTTACGTGGCAGAGAGTTTTCGACTTTGGAAACTTGAAACGAAAAAACTCCCATATTTTAATAGCTTTGGAGAAACGTTTCGTAATTTATGGAAAAATTCACGGTAACTAACTTTTCCCAATTTGTGAGATACTGCAACCGTAAATACGCGCTTTTGGTCGACTTGGGATCGAAAAAACAAGTGAATCATCGGTGCGTTAATTCGAAACACCGTTTCGTCACAGTTTTTCGTAATGGCGGAAAACGTTCGGCGTTATGGAAATGCGGAGGGATGTGTTTTTTTTTCCTCTTTTTTTTGCAGATAGGAAGCCGATTTTATTTCCACGCGTGTTGTCGACAAACGAGATTCGCCCACGTGCTCGACGGTATGAAGGTCGACATTTTTATTTCGATTATCACTTCGGCCGAGGCACCTAGTCACCGTAGGAGCGAAGATAAGCGATCCCGCTGCGATCGTAAATTCACCGGGCGACTCGAACGGTTCCTCGTTTTCAGATTCACGAATCTGGCCGGTACCATTGATTCGCACGTTTAAACACGATGGTATTGCGCAAAACGAAAAAATGTCACATGAAATGTGACATCTTTTATTAAATATCTTTTATTGCTTTCCATATATCAATTTAATGCATGCGCATTTGTTTGTACTTGAATATTTCTGTTATTGTTGCCATACATCGTAAATGTTACGCGCGTTCGCTACATATATGCTATCATTACTTACAAATGTGCAACTTAATAATGGAAAAAACATTGCGTAAAAGTGACGGACGTTTGTCATAATTCATGAAAGCGTTTATTTTCGTTTGCTTAAAAACGGCTTTTTTTTAATTTTATGCGTGAGCGCGAATTTCAAAGTTTACCGCTTCAAATGTACATGCATATAATCTTTATTATATAAATATCAGTGAATGCGCCATATGTCCGGACAAAAATTTTAATAATGAAGTATTCGCCTATTAATAATTTCCGTTTCCAAACAATAACTTTGAGAAGAGCAATTTTGACACGCGATCGATACATGAAATATCGTGTATGGATTTTGGAATTATGTTATATTAATTTCAAATTTATGTATATGTTCAGACACATATAAATTTATATATGTCCATGACAAACTTTTAATTATATTTCTTAATACAACTAGAAATATATCGCGAGAGTTCGAAGATTTAAGATAAACATTAATATCTCCCTACGACTTATGGAAACATCAACACATCATTCAGCGTCCCTCATATGCTTCGTTTCAGATCCAATGGACCGTTTGATAACACGAAGATTTCATTACGAAGATAACCACGACCTGAATAACTTTTCGATGCCAATAAAACGTATATCTTCTCCGCTCTCGTTTTCGTGGAACGCGGGTGATTTCCTTCGATCGGCGCGAAAGAAAGAAAAACATAGACGCGCGTGTAGAAAGAAAACTTTTCTCTTCTTCGAAGGCATTTGGAGGACACGCATTATCCCTGCAAGAGTAAATGAAGGGAGAAATCTTTAGTCTGTGCCCAAAAGAGAGATGGTGTAATTTACCGAAATGCACTTGGCGAAGCGCTGATCCTCCCTGATGATAAATTGAATTGGCGTGAATAATCAACAATCGCAAGGCGGAAATTAGATGATCATTATCCCGATGGCAATCCAGAAATCGAAAGTAAAAGCAAAAACGTCGTTTAGGTATTTTTAGTCGGCACGTGGACCCTCCGTTTTCCATCAAGATCATCTGGATAACATAACGATGGTTTAGGGCGAGATGTGCGTGGAATTCGAAGCGCTATGAAATTCTTTTACAACAAGGGATTACGAGAATGCGATAACTATGATTTCGAGATCGACGGCGTGTTTTTCCATATGTTTTTTCTTCATTAAGCTCGGTATACCCTCGGTGTTTCGATGAGAGGAGCCTAAATAAAGCTTCTTGCCGCGAGATTTGTGCAGAGACATTTGTGTTACCGCTATTTCCGACGGTGCGTTTGACTCTTGCATAAGAATAGACTTACATAAGAGTAAAAAATCTGACCAATAAGTCAGATAACAGTTTCAATTATTCGAGGAGTAATCGCTTATCAATTTTTCATTGACGGGGAATACTATCGTATCTGGCTGTACGTGCATAAGGCGCAGAGATTTCAGAGCTCTTGACTCATCGCGATTTTTTAAGAAGTAAAGATACGGGAGGCATGGGAGCTCAAAACGTTCGGCATATCGTGCGCTTACACGAGCGCATAAATCGCAACCGGGAAGAGAGAGAGATCTGCAAACTGCCATCATAATTCAGAGTAAATTTGGATGCAACCCACGATCACGTGCAAGCTTCGATACTTCGGGGAATTACTCGAGTCTTACGTAAGTCGGATCGGTCGGAAAATAGATTAGAATCGTTCCGGTTAGCTTGAGCAAAGGTATACAACCGGCCGCATCACCAAAATGCATTCGTGAGTATATGCGCGACAATATGGCAATCGCGTTTTGGGTTTGCCTAGTCATTTACGTTACATATTGTAATATATGCAAAACGCACAATATAAGTAAATATAAATTTGTAATGTTTCAATAAATTTTCATCTAAATGTTTATTATAAAAATACGATACTAAGTTCAACGGCATTTTCTTATAATACGCATTGTCTCATATTTTATAAAAAGCATCGACTAATTGAATTATAAGTTGACTTCTATGTTTCCCCAATATACTTTCCCCTTTACATCGCTCAAATTTATCATTAGACTCGACAACCTTGAAAGCAAAGTTCGCAAGAAATTTAATAAAGAGATCTCGATCCAAAAGTTGGATGGGGAGGCCTCTCAACTTGTCGATGGTCGACCGAGGATAAAATCGGCGCCGCCACGTGGCACCGTGAATGATTAGAAGCGTGACAAGAAGAGCAGGTCGTTTATCCATGGCTAAGTATTATACCGAGGCGCGAGCGGAATAATTATTCGGCCTTCTAGCCCGCTCGTAGCGAGGCAGAGAGAAGACAAGGGGATAACTCACGAAAAACATCAATAACAGCCCGGGTCTTATATACCCTCATATTTCAAATTTCATCACTACGTTGGGGCGCTGCTGGATGTCGGTTTGATCTCTTTTTTTTTTGCGCCGAAGTTAATACCCGTCGCAATCGATTCGTCGAAAGTGTAACGATGCGCTTTTTTACGAGAGAAATAACGAGATTGGCGAATACATTCGAATCGATTGGCGAATTACGAATGCTACGTCTCATCCAATTTGGGATTATCGTATATTCGCTTTAAATCGAGCGAAAAATAGGGTTTTAAAATTGAGGAGTTTAACTTACAATCCTTTAATCGTCGTTCTGGAATAATTTTGTAACGTTAGAACTCGGATTTCAATTTTATTGAGAAGAGACTTTTAAAATCCGTCCAAAAAATTTACCAACGTTATATAAATCTGGAGACAGCTGATATGCAACAACGGAATATAGAAATATGAGCACTTCGAAATGTTGAAATATTTTTGTTCTTATTCGTTTGACGTCGTAATATTTGCTTGATTCGACGGGGAATCGGTGGAGTGGACGCCAGTCGGCGGAGGGTTGGCGGAGGATCGGCGGAGTGGACGCCGGCCGGCGAAGGGTTATTGGCGAACCGGCGCGGCGTCCATTCCACTGATCCTCCGTCAACCCATTTTGTGATATAATTTTGTTAAGGAACAATAAAGCTACTATCACTTAGGTTGGATTTTTGGATTTACAAAATACATTGCATGTACTTGGCGCCTTTTTTACCTTTTTTGAAAAAGGTATATGTATTAACGCTTAATATGTATCCAACCTGATAATTCTGAAAATATACGGCTGTAATGTAATCGAGTCCGAACTCGGTTGATTTATCAAGACATGGGCACGGCTGGCTATTTCCAAAATCTCATCGTGTTCGGTGATCTCGGTTGATTGTATCCTGCTGAAGAAAATAGCTCAGCCTCGAGAGACTTGTCAATGGTTCTTCCAACGAACGAGTTCTAGTTTATCCTATTCGTATCACGAACGAACCGTGGTATCGTAAGAATGACACGTCGCGCAAAGATCTATTACGTGTTCGAGGGCAATGCGGAAACAGCGTGGAAATTTTCTTTTCCCATCAAGACTTTCCGAAGGATGATTTGTTAGTAAATTATTGTATATAAATGTAACATTATTTTAATTCAAAATATATTAATTCAAATTTATATTCAAAACTGGAGATTTACATATTACTTCTATGAAGATAACTTCTTAAATTTTTATTAGTCTTTTGAGTAAAATTAAAATAAAGAATTGCAATATGCAAAAGATTATTTAAATAGGTATACATAAAGTAAGAAAATTTTTTTCAAAAATATGCTTATATATACACATATACATATTTTTAGTTGTTTGTAAAGTTAAGATACGATTATTTACTAGAAATTTAAAAATAAAAAAAGAATTTAAGATGTTTAGAAAATAGAGCACGTACATGTAAAATAAATTTCCTACAATTTAAATCTAGATGTCGAATATAGCGGAATTTGTAAAGCAACTAAAGTAAATGTAAATAGTTTCATATGAACGGTGATGTCGTGGCAAAAAAGAGAAATATATGTGTGATTGTAAAAAGCCGAACAAATGTCCTCAATCCTCGAATAAAATCGATATTTCTTGATATCTCTGATATTTGTGCACCGAGCCGAACACGTGACGGACAGATATTATTGATTTCCGTTTTAAAGAAATTTGCGAAGCCCGGCACGTTGATATGGCAAACATCGGGTCCCGTCAGAATCGGTGGAAATAACAGTTTTCTCTCAAAGTTTCCCTCTTTTAGCAGTCCGAGCTGAATTTGGGAACGGCAATTATCCTTGTCTAATTCTCATATTTTATTTGGGAAATGGGCATAACAATGTTTTGCATCTAGTCTGGTAGCAAATAATGAAATTAACAGCGTCGCAATTTCTTTTAATTGCATTTCTACGAGATTTAATCGATGTGTCCAACCAACGTCTATGGTCCAACTAGAAACATCCAAGTTTCGAAATTATACGAAACTCTCGATCTCGCCAGGACTTTGCTTGATATCGAATCATATCACGAGACATATCTATTTTGATGTTTATAACGATGTAAAGTTGTCAAATAATTTGTATAATTCTTGTCATGTAAAAAGTGATCGGTAAATGCTTGTATAATTTTTCAGACCGTAGAAACCCTCAGATATTTATAGAAAGTACGCGATATCTATGAGTATGCTTACAGGTTTATATTTAATAAACAAGCGGCTTTAAAGTGTCTCTCTGTCGCCACAGTTTTGCGTGTTTGCGAAATTACTTGCATATTATCAAAACGCGGCAAGACGCTTGCAGCGTTATTCGGATATCTACGTTCTTTTAAGCAAATTTGAATAATTAAGCACAAATTTGAATATTTCACGACATTGCTGCAGGAACGTCTGGCTATATAAGCATTTGTAATATGCCAACTCGCTTCAGGCGACTTAAGCTCATTTGAACTTTTCGTGAGAAGAGAAGGTCTGGCGTGATACGTTTGAATTATTTGCATGTGAACCTATGCGAACTTACGAACTTCGAACTAGAATATGTAATATGTTACATTCATACCGCCAACCAAGCATTAATGTAACTAATTACTGATGTCATTATTGGCATAAAGCTTGTTTAATTACACCATTGTATGATATATTTCTCTTTGAAAATGTCACAAGTACCGCATGCAAAGTGGGATACATTTTTATAACAGATTCCTCGCCAAATATAAATTTTTTCTTCGGTCAAAGCTTTCTAAGTTTTAATTATGCCTTTAAAACTAAGTTTTAAACTGGGATTTTGTTAAAGCTCTTTGAAAATTGATTGCAGTTCTACTATCCGTTTGACCTCTTGTGTGGACTTATCATTACACAATGCATGACCTATTTATTACGATGACCTATTTATTACGATGTTCTGCGTATCGATTCATAGTATATTCTTTAAAAAAGGGCAATAAAATTTCCTGTAAATTTTTCCGAGAGTTATGAGCTCTATTGGGACATCGATTGTTATATTCGGCGAATTTATTGACAGATCTTGATAAAAGTCTTTAATGACTTTTCCGACTTGGGAATCGAAATAAACCCGATTTCAATCATCTTAAACCGCGTTTCTAAGGATGCTCGACCGCGCGCTGTAATTTCCGACGATCAAAGAAACCGCATCGCTTACCAAGCATGCGAATAACGTTCCTCTGAGCGTTCGTCTTCCCTCTGCTGCTGTCCACGTGATTCAACACACCGGGAACGTGATGTCTTTTACTGACGGTGGTGGTGAGCATGCTCGAGCGTCGCAGCTTGATGGCGATCAACACGTACAGCACGGTGATTATCGTCATGGGCAGCACGAAGAACAGGATGGTCGAGATCTCGAAGGCGTGCTCGATTAGCGTCCACCGCAGCGAGCATCTAGCGCTATCCAGGTTGGCGGTGCCATTATAGTGGTCGAAGATAATGCCGAACTGGATGGCCTGTGGTACGGCGAGGCAGAGAGCCAGCAGCCAGATCGCCACCACGAACTTTACCGCTCGGGATAGCTTCGACATTGTGTGCGAGATGAAGGGATGGCAGATCGCCACGTATCTGCGGAAAAAAAACACACGCAGAAATATTAAAAGGGGCAAACATAGGCTTCATCTCGCGGGTGTCCGGATTTATCGATGTTTACACACAATCCAAAATCGCGGCTAGAATCGACGGATATTGGAACTTCTCTTGGCATTTTATTTTATCGATCTCCACACCAGATTGGAGTTTTATATATATATATATATATATATATATCGCGGGGTTTTTCATTTTTTCACGAATTTTTTCACATGCGAAAAAAATAAATAAAACCCGTGATCAAGATACCCGAATGATTGGCAGGGTATGGCTATGGGATCAGCGAGCGTCATATATATTTATGACATTTTTATCAGTCAGATTTGATATATGTGCAATATAATCCGAACCCACCTCTCGATGGTGAATGCCGTGATGGTGAGAACGGTGGCGTTGGCCGAGGTCTCCGAGGCGAAGCTCTGGATAATGCAGAACGCCTCGCCGAATACGTACGGAAAGTGCGACCATATATAATACATCTCCGGCGGCAATCCGAACACGAGTAGCAGGAGATCGGACACCGCGAGGCTGAAGAGGTAGTAATTGGTAGCGGTGTGCATGGACTTGTTGCGCGCGATTACCACGCACGTGGAGATATTGCCGATAAGACCGGTGAAAAAGATCACGACGTAGATTATCGTGATCGGCAATACGATGTACAGGGAATCCCGTCGGCCGTTTTCGTCTCTGTCAAAATTGTTTTGGAGCAAGGCAACGATCGTGCTCGAGTAGTTCTCGTATCGCGGATTCGCGTAAACGACCGTAGAACGAAGCTCTTGCTGATTATCGTCTTTCGAGAGACTCCAAGAGTCCCCCGCGGGTCCCGCGTCTTGAAGGACGCTGGTGATATTCGCTATCGTACCCGAAATCATCCTGCTTCTTTTATCGTATCCGGATCAGCGAGCGATTAACATCAAAGGATAACGATCGGCAAAGATACGCGTTGACTTCGCGAAGTAGGAAGCAGATTAATATTTGAGACTTCGTGGCCGAAGATTTCAAATCGGCAGCTCAAACGCGAGCAGATATCTCTGCGCTGCGGTATCTCAGTATCTCTTCTGCCTATATTTTTGCTGCTTTAATTCGTCCATAAATATTCCGGATCATCAGCTGAAATTGTCACGCAGTAGCGACGATTTATCCTGCGAAATGCAATTACGATGTCTTCTCTGGATAGTATTGACGTTTTCGTGAAGATCCGTTGTTTAAATCCTGGCTCATGACCGATATTGGTGCATTTCGGTCTACATCTTGTCGGAAGCGTCAATATTTCTTCACGAATGGTTTCTCAAGATAAGATCTTCCCGCTGTTTTCCCTTCGTGTTAACCTGAAATTGCAAGTTTTTTTTTATTTTTACACGTTTGGGCGACCGATCTGCGTTTCGAAAAAGCAAACGTCGCGCGATACGATCCATAATCGAGCAATTAAATTTCAAACGCGAGATTATCGCGTTCTCGATCTTCTGCATTTCATGCAGTAATGATATATTATGGATGGTACTACGGTTGGCATTACGGTTGGATAGATAACGGTTTCCATCATCCGTCGATTAACGAGACGACATACCACGTCCTTGCCCGACGCTTCGATTAATTTCGGTCAATTTGCGCGAGAATTGAAGGGCCGTCCTATAAACTCCTCAATTATAGGCCGACGTGCAATGTTGTTCTTTCCACCAGCTCGTTTCGCGATCGATATAAAAGTTCTAGCGTGAATTTTTGTTAGCGCCGTTTGACGTACCGAATAAACTGACCGTCTCGCTGCATCGCGAATCCGCAATCATCTCGTGTCGCGAGAGATCGGCTCGATCAATTATCCATGTCCGTCATGCCAATTACACAATAAATCCGCTAATGTATAATAGGCTCCGCTGACTCGGGAATATGCTTGTGACGTTGCTGCACGCACGCATTATAATAGCTTCATTCATTAGTTTCATTTACGTCGGCGGTGGATCCGGTCTATTTTCCGCGAACGCTGTCTTTCATAATGGTCTCATTAAGGGGTAGAATTATTCACGAAATCCGTCGCTAATGAGAGGTAGAGGTCTACGAAAAGATTTTAATAGCACGTGCGATACGATTTCCAGCCCGTATATGATATCCCGGTTTGTTAACAAAATATCCGCTTTCCACATTGTCACCATTGTTTGCCATTGTGTTAAACTGCTCTGACAAGGATATCGCCTTCCGAATATATACAGTGACCTTTTGACACATCGCCTTTAGTCGCGGTACTGGGCTATATACACGTACCGCAGTCCATTCAAACTTCAAAATATCGTGTTTCTCTAAGTACGACAAATCATTGGAGATGGATAGAAATACGAGAACTTTATTGAAATAAAATCACGGTGCATTAAGTGCAAAAGTGGTCCGACATATATATAAGACTTTTTTAAAATCTAAAAATATTTTTTGGATGCTATACTGTACATCACAATTTTTTATATGACAGATTTTTAACATTAGAATTACCAATAATTAATTTCTACTATTCAAGTATATTGTATATATTTGAAAAAAAAAGAAATAAAGGGGAGAAAGTAAATTAATCAATTTAATAATTTTTATATTGCAAAAGTCATGAAAAATTTTAGAAAATAAGTACACTATTATAAATTTGAATAATTTAAAAAAAATTACAAGTTGTATCGATTGCTTTGATAGTTGCAATGTTAAATTTAATCATGATATTTTAACTTTATAATGTCTCAAGACGCATATATTTTACATACGCAATACACAACACTCAGAGCTTACACGCGTGTTGACACAGATGCACCAGTTATGTTTCCGATAACAATAACATTATTCTCAATAACTGATCATTTTTCTTTTTTAACACCGGTGAATGTAAAATATATTTATCTATATAATGTAAAGATCCTGTCGATGCAGAATGATCCCGACTTCATTCACGAGCCGCGTGAGCTGCAGTTGCAGCCGATATTTGCTCCAGTCATTTTGTCAAAACAAACTAGACCTTCCGGCCAAAAATCACAAATCGCGCACGGCACACCACGTTGCATTCTCGACGGAGTCCTAAACCCGTTCTGCGTCGTCACGTCCGCGAAAATTGTTTCCAACGCGCGCGGCTGTATGTGTGCAGTCATCTCCACGCTCGTTGCCTTTACGATGATGTTGTCATTGGCGACGCGGTGCTTTCGTAAACGCCGTTTATCGACAGAACGGACAGAACGGAAACACATTGTGCTATTTTCGACGCGGCTCGTGCTCCCAGCTGACACCCAACATTGTCTAATTACCGTCAATGAGTCGTTAAATTCTTCATGGTCGCGCATTTTATCCGAAAACTGCTTCGCAAAACGAATACGAGAAATTCTCTGATTTATCCATCTTACGTTTCGTCATCTCATCAATTTTCACGTAAATGTTTTGGGCAATTTGTCTATATTTCAGGATCTCTTATCCCGAGTTAACAAACTCTCTAACATGTTATACTTTAGACACAACTGTCGGTTTTTATTATGTACTGTGTCTTTATCTAATTCTTATTTATATGTAACACTAATGTCCATTTCTACCAATATAGGATTAACTTTAATCGCGGTTTAACTTACACTTTTCATCTTTTTCTAGTTCTTAAAATTAGAGAAAGATAAAAGGTAAGTTAAAGATCAAAGTTAATCTGCATTGGTAGAAACGGATATAAGTAGTCCTCGTATAACGCAAATCCAATTTTTTATTTCACAATTTTAAAGCACGCGATCTTTAATTCTACTAGTTGTTGCATTGACACGTCCAAACGCAAGGAGTGCTGTCAGCTAAAATTTACATTTTAATAACCGAAAGCTATGATTGGTTTACAAATAATGCATGTATGAGCTATCCTACTTGCATCGCATTAAATTTTAATGGAAAATCTCTCAATAAACGCACAGTTGAGGTTTTATTTCAGCAAAATATTTTCAAAAGCCTCTCACATTAAAATGCCTCTTCGCGAACCACGGCTTTCCTCATCCTCAAACTTTTCGAAGCTGTAGCAGTCTAGTCATTTATTTGACTTACATGTCTGCGCTCGTTAATTTTTTGGCAACTTGACACGAAGTTTCGAAACATCGGGACTCGCTCAGTCAGTAAATCACGGTCCTGTTTTGTTTTAAAGATTTAGGAATATCTGATTTAGGGATCAACGCTTCAACTTGTTCCTCTTATAACTGCCACGTATATTTATTATCGTATACTCTCATTCGAGTTTTATATTTATGAAATAGCGCGTGCGAAACTTTTAAAATAATAACACGAAAAATCACTTAGTACAATGATTATTTCCGCGAGACATTTTTACGACGCGTCCCGATCGTGACAATTAAATAAACGCGTAGCTGTGAATCCCGCTGCGTCGCTCTCGATTAAGCTCTTGAGATTCTAGTCAGAATCAATCGTTTACGTTACACTCTTGTCGAATCGATGCGAACCAATTCCGTAACGCTTATTGCGCGCGTTTATTCGTGTGCATGCGATGCGCGACTCTGCGAATGCAGCGAAGTTTACTCACGTTGGTTCTACCGAAAAGAATTGAATGTATAATTTCGAAAAGGGCATCTCGCATTTTTTTGGCTCATAGGATCTTTCACTAATATGTACTCTAGTCATATGACAATACCTTAAAAATATTTTTTCTTTCGTATTCTATTGTGATTTGACCCTAAAATGCAAATTGTAAAGTTTTTTATCACTGGGTACAATAGTTTGATATTAGGTCAGTATTTTTTTTCATTCTCGAAAAATTTTAATTTTCAGAGATGTGCCCTTTTCGAAATGGCACATTTAATTGTTTACGCGATTAAATTCTCGTACCTCTCTCACCTGAAGTATGGACGTGTTAATTAACAATGGTTCCCGGTCGGATCAATTTGCGAAATGCAATACAATATAACGCGCAAAGCTCTCTGTTGGAACAACAGGCGGTCCAGATTAACGCACAATAATCCTTGTTGGAACAATACGCAATGTTATATTTCCATTAACATACAGAGCTCTTTGTTGGAATAACTGGCTGCTATCGACCGGAAAATTAATCCTCGCATCCGTGGAAGGCGTCAACGGTGAACTCCACCGGGACCATAATTCAATCTGTCATCTGATCCGAGTTGGATTCGCATTATCACCGAACTCGGCGCAAATATGATAGGGAAACGCGAGAATGTGACGTCAATTGACAGCTGTGGAATGATAGTCGAGAGCGTTAAACCTATTTTCTTGAAATAAAACATCTCGGGGAAATGCAGCGCGCCTCGGCCGATCGATCGCCTTTGGTTAGGATGATGCGAAATTGGCGCAGCCACTTGATAATGTATACGCATAGCAATTGCTCGTTCAACCGAGATCGAACGCGACGTAAGAGGCGCTCGGAGATGTTATGCAAACTTCGAACAGTTTCGCGTTAAATCAAGCGGTTCTCGTAACAAATCGAATCTTTTATTCCGAGTAATTTTTAGTTGCATAATTTTCAATTTTGCAGTTTCGGAATTTTATTTTCAGCTGGTATAAAATGTATTTAAAAGAAATGTCTTGACTGACAATGAGATAATGGAAATTGAACAGTTAACAATCATAAACGGATTACGAATTATAAAACGCTTTATGTAACGGACATTTTTAAAGTTAATGTAATACTAATTTTTAATTAGCACAATTTTCTGATGGAGTCTTTCTGATGGAGCACTGTTGTAACTTCTTGGTTTTTGAATTTACACAGCATTGTAATCAATCAAAGTTTTGATAAAATATACTCTTGTCTCTCTCTCTGTATTAAGATGAAGAAGACTTCTTATTTTTTATAATTACAAATTAATTACAACTATAAGTGTAATTACGAATAATTACCAACTACAATTTATGAGATTAGGGGAGCGGAAAGTAAAATAAATCTAATTATATTTTCGACTCCGATATAAAGTTTCAATTTCTAATTTAGTTTCTAATGTAAGCGAACAAGTTTAAAAGGAGTCAATAAAATTATTATATCGCATGTTTTAGGGTGCTTGCCGGTGAGAGTAAAACGATTTGATTAATTACGACGACGGGCGGGACGTTCTGAATTAGATTTGTCAGAGAACTCTAACTTCAAGATCGCGATATTTCAAACATTATTAATCTTTCTAGCAAAATATTCTTAATATTTTGCATTTATATCGCCATTATTAATGAGATAATTTATAAACAAAATAATTAACATTTTAAATAAAAATACGAAGTTCTCTTCTTTGAGTTTATAACGGAAAATCAAACGAAGAAAATTGAGTATTGGTATTTGCCATAAAAATATCAAACTTAGCAAGAGAGTTTATTGAATAAATGTTACGAAACTTATTATAAAATTCTATGCTCCAGTTTTGTTACTAGAATATTTGAGAAGAATTTTACTGACAAAACAAATTCGCGGACTTTTCCTTCATTTCATAAAACAGCAGCCTCTGTAGTATCCAATTATTGGAAATGACATTCCTCGGTTATGATCGCGCGCAATATTCGTGATTGCAGCTTTTAGTGCCATTGAAACCGTTGAATATCGATAGCACGGACCATCTATTAATTAATTGAAATCTCATACGTGGAAATTGCACTTGCCGTAGTAAGTTTATTTACTATTGAGTTATTTTCCACATTTTTCTCAAGTTGTGATTATTCGATATACTGATTTTACTTGTTTTATTTATAGTTCCTTTTTAATTTATAGAAACAGCTATGAGAGACTATTGGAATGTATATGTATTTAATTTTAACACGTGATAATTTGATCTTTACTATACCTATTACAGCAATATTGCAGTATATACGCATCATAAACATAATTTTAAATGCACAAACGTAAATAATTAATAATTAGTTAAAAATAAAATAATAAAAATACAATGAATTTTGCTTGATAAGCGCTAATCGATGCGTCTAAAACACTTTATCCAGATTATGCATCAAATGACGAAGAGGAAACGACAATCGTGCGAACAGGAATCGAATAAACTTGACAGCGTAAAAATACAGATAAGCGCACTTGGTCGGAAAACAAAGTTATTTATCAAAACGAGTGAAGTTATTTATCACAACGAACAACGAGTTTTCCTCGTTTATCTCTGTAGTAAAATAAGGCAAAATGTTGAATCAACTTTTAAACTGTTTCAAACTTTCCTAATCTATCTGCAATATTAAGATGCTTCCGTATTTTTCTTTCTCTCGTTATACTGATCGTACGTCGCAATTTTGCACGTTTAATTACAGTTTCTTGTTTTCTATATATATGAAATTGCCTTATACAAGAAAATTACAGAAACAATGTTTCTGTATTCTTTTATCGGTTGCGCGACGAATTGCTTAAGACAAGCGAGTTCCGGTGATGTATT